CACATCGCTAACTGGGTTCGGCTAACTGGGTCCAACTGAGCACCCCACCCAGGTGCTCAGGCGGGGCTCATCCTGGACACCGGTGCCAGCCCGGGGCACAGTGTCCGGTGGCTCTCAGTCCTCTAGCTCCACATGAATTTTGTACCTCCTCCGTTTCTTTTGTACCCCCCACTTTACTTTTGGTTCAGGGGTGTCACACCTGGCAGTGCTGAGGTGAGCACACAGTGCCAGGGATGGTAGCGGAGCACCCGGCATAAAGTGTGCCCTCAGCCCACCGAGCCATCTCGGGGCCCTCCTGGGCCCCTCTCGCCCAGGCCTTGCCGAAGGGAATGGGCATTCTGACCGCGCCCCGGGTGCTGAGTCATCTCCTTTCGGTGGGCCTGGAGAGGCTTATTTTTCAAACGCTCCGTAGGTGACGCCAAACCTCTTGCTAAGAACCGCCCCGGCGAAGGTTCTATTGTGTCTTTAACGAGAACTGGAACCCACCTGAAGTTCTTAGCTGAGGCCAAAACAATGAGTCTGACATTTGCAAGGGAACGTGGTGAAAGCACTCCAGAACACATTTGTTGTCTGCTGATAAGTCTTGGTATTACTCAGAAAATGCATCTCGGCTTCTGATGGCATTTTCTTTGCAAAGGGCAAGGTGGAGGTGTTGGGGTGGGTGGCATCTCCAAAGAGGCTGAATGTGTTTCCTTCCTCGGCGGTCCCGGGAGGTTTTGTTTTGTTTTGTTTTGTTTTCCGTTTGTATTTGAGGTGCCCTGGCTATGGGAGAGTGGAGACCCTGCCCTCGGAAGGGGGCCTGGGTACAGCCCCACTGCACGCCCCTCCTCCTCGTGTCTCAGCTCCCCACTCCCCATTCCTCTCTCTGTTCTCCTCCGCACAGCCCATGGCCCTCCCTTGCTTCTGTTGAGTTTGTTTTTTGTTCTGCGCCTCTGGAGGTGCTTAGAGCTTTCTCCTGAGTCTGCATGCAGGGATCACTCCTGGTGTTGCTTGGGGGGGGACCATATGGGATGCCAGGGATCACACCTGGGTCGGCAACATGCAAGGCTAGTGCTTCACCCATCGTAGCAAGGCTAGTGCCTCACCCATCGTACTGTCTCTCCAGCCCACCTCCCGGGCTTCTGTTTCCCGCATCTGAGCTTCAGGTCCTGCCTTGATGTTTGCTGCTGCTATTCCAGTCACCTGTTTGGTTCTTAGGGCAGCAGCCTGGGCAGCACCTGTGAGAAAGAGCAGACCCTCCGAACACGCCCAGATCTCCTTGGTTGGTTTGGTGTGGGGGCTGTTCCAGGCGGCACTCCAGGCGGCTTATTGAGCTCTGGCTCGGTGCTCAGGGATCACCCTTTGGCAAGCTCTCCAGACTGCCTAAGTGCTTGTTACAGGGGGAGCGGCATGGGTGGGAGTGTGGGTGGGAGTGGGCTTCTTTTAGGGGATGAGTGGGGTGGGGCTAATATCTGCGGTGCTCAGGGCTGACTGCTGACTCCTGGCTCTGTGCTCAGGGCTGACTCCTGACTCTGTGCTCAGGGATCCAAATCAGATCAGCCCTGTGCTATCTCTGCAGCCCTTTTTGTTTTGATTTGTCTTGAGTTTGAGGGCCACACCCTGCAGTGCTCAGGGGCTGTTCCTGACTCAGTACTCAGTGATGACTCCTAGTAGTACTGTCAGGGATTGGACTGAGGTCAGCTGTGTGCAAGGCAAATGCCTTAACCCCCGGACTGCCTCTGGCCCTACAGCAGGGATTTTTCAAATGTGTTTGCCGGTGCGTGCGTACGTGTGTGCGTGTTTTACTAGGGATCCACTCCCAGAGTTTTCCACATGCAAGGTATGAGCTCTGCACTGGACCAAGTGTTTGCAAACTAGTAATGCAGGAAAAAAACGACATTATTTCTCAGCCTATGTCATGTATCTACTTTAAAATCTAGTATTATTAAATGGAAATGCTGCAGTTACTTAGTAACTGTTACTTAGTATCTGCAGTAACTTAGTATCTGCAGTTACTTAGTATGCACCCAGTCACTAGGTGTGTGGAGGTCACTGCCCAGCGGCTGGAAAGGGCCAGAGGAGAGCCCCACGCGCTGCCTCGTGACCGTGACCGGGGACCCCATCCCCCTGCCCCGCCTTCTCCCAGCCCATGGTGGATGGAGGTTGCATGGCTTTATTTCTGCCGTCTGTAGATCTCGTCTTTCTTTCCCGTCTCATCCTGATTTTCCCTCGTGAATGCCGCCGTGTCTGCGGACTGGGGCCTCTCTCTCTCTCATGCAGCGATGGCACTTCTGTGGGAGAAGCAGGTCTCCAGCGCTGATGTGACAGTGTGCTGAGACCAGCCAGAGACACACGGGGCAGGGAGGGAGGAACAGGGAGGGAGGCCCGGGAAGCCTGGCCCTCGGCACTGCTCAGGTCGACGTGGGCAGGAGGAGTGAACCTTTGCCCGCTCAACAAAGGAACAGCAGGTGCAGAGAATTGGCAAATCAGTCTTAAAAAATCAAAGGGGCTGAAGAGCTATTGCTCTGTGGGCAAGGGGCTTGTTTTGCACACCCAAAGCTCTCGCAGTTCGATCCTGGCCCCCCCCCCCCCCCCCCCCCCCCCCGTACCCGGCTGTCCTCAGGGCCTGCTTAAAAAGCCCAAACCGAAGTATCATTGTAGTTTGGGCCCCATATTGAAACTGCTGTTGACTTTCTTGTTTTGTTCAGTTTGGGGGCCATACCTGGTGTTCTCAAGGCTTACTTTTTTCCTTCCCCCCTTTCCTTTTATTTTTTTAAAGTTGTTCACAGTAATTAATTACATTCAGAATTCCAATACCAGTCCCACCATCATTCCACCTTCCCACCACCATTATTTGAGATTTTTCCCACCATCACCCAAGCCTGCGCCAAAAGCAGATCCTAAATAAATTATTTTGTATTGCTTGTGATGAATAATCTGCTGAATATGATCTAAAAAAGGCTTCCTTAGAGGAAAGTGCGTGAAGATTGTTGCATCTCACCTGGGGGTCATTAATCAGGGCTTCCTCTCGATCTGCACTCAAGATCTGTTACTCTTGGCTGTGTTCCGGGGACTGTGCAGAATGCCGGGGATTGAACCCAGGTTGGCCACGTGCAAGGCAGTTGTATACTTTCGCTGCAGCCCTAGTATTGACTCTTTCGGTTTCGATGTACATAGTTACCTCACCCCAGTATCAACAAAGTGTCCAAGATCAGTACCCTTTAGTTGGTGCCTGTCCACTTCCTCATTCCCCTCTCCCCACTCCTCTCCTTCCTTGGCATCCTCACGTGCATTTTTTTTTTTTTTTAGTTCTCTTAGTGCTGAGGATCAAACCCAGGGCCTCATGCATGCAAGGCATAGATTCCACGGCTGAGCCCTATCGCTGTCAGTTGTTCTCGGTTTTAATTTAATTTATTATTTTTTTTAATTTTTGGCAGGGAGGGAGGTGATGGATTGGGGCCCCAGGGGGCTACTCTTGGCTCTGTGCTAGGAGCTTGATACTTGGGAAGGCTCAGAGGACCTTCCAGTACTGGGATTCCAACCCAGGGCTCCCACAAGCAGAGTGCCTGCTCCTGTTCTGGCCCTTTGAGCCATCTCTCCCTCCTCTTCACAGTGTGTTCTTTGTAAGTGAATATGTGACAGACACCTCAGGCTTTCCTTTCTAGATTTATTTATTTATTGCTTTTTGGGTCACACCTGGCGATGCACAGGGGTTACTCCTGGCTTTGCTCTCAGGAATTACTCCTGCTGGTGCTTGGGGGACCATATGGGATGCTGGGAATCGAACCCGGCTCTGCTACGTGCAAGGCAAAAGCCCTACCCACTGTGCTACCGCTCCAGCTCCCTCTAATCTTTTTTAAATATAGTATATTAAAATAGAGATAGAAAATTTGAGGTTTTCTTGTTTGTTTTTGGAGGGGGGGTACACCTGGCAGAGCTCAGGGCTTACTCCTGGCTCTGCACTGAGGGATCACTCCTGGCGGGGCTCAGGGGTCCATGGTGTAGGAATCGACTCAGTACTTACTGGCCACGTGCAAGGCAAGCACCCTCCCCACTGCACTATCTCTGCAGCCCCATAGGAGGGTTCGATTGTAAATCATTTTATTAGCACTTAGCACTGTCCTCCCGTTGTTCATCGATTTGCTCGAGCGGGCACCAGTAATATCTCACAACAAATTGTGAGACTTGTTGTTACTGTTTTGGCATATCGACTGCGTCACGGGGAGCTTGCCAGGCTTTGCCATGCGGGTGAGATACTCTCCATAGCTTGCCGGGCTCTCTGAGAAGGGCGGAGGAATCAAACCCGGGTTGGCTGTGTGCAAGGCAAACGCCCTACCCGCTGTGCTATTGCTCCAGCTCATTAGTGATACTTGATGCTTTAAATTATTTTAGACACTTGTGTTAAGCCTTAGGGTCAAATACACACACACATACATATATACACGCTGTCACTGTCACTGTCCTCCCGTTGTTCATCGATTTGCTCGAGCGGGCCCAGTAACGTCTCCATTGGAGACTTTGTTGTTACTGTGTCTGGCATATCGAATACGCCACGGGTAGCTTGCCAGGATTTGCCCTACGGGTGAGATACTCTTGGTAGCTTGCCGGGCTCTCCGAGAGGGGCGGAGGAATCGAACTCGGGTGGGCCATGTTGGCTGCATGCAAGGCAAACGCCCTACCGCTGTGCTATCGCTCCAGCCCATACACACACACACACACACACACACACACATATGCCATAAATCATTAGTTTTAAACTCATACAATTAGATGATTTGGACCGCGGAGACAGAGGCAAACATATGCCTTGTGACCCTACGAATATCATTGAGCAACATGTTCTGGTTGGAGCTTCTTAGAAGTCAGAATGTAGACAGAAACCTTATCCGGGGCCGGGATCTGAGTCTCTGTGGAGCTCCTGGCCAGGCGTGGGCCTGGGTGGGGGCATGGAGGACGCCCTGTGCCCGGTGAGCTGCCTCTCTCCCCCCCCCAGCTAACAGGTGTATCTTGCGTTCCAGGTCACCCAGCGATCGTTATGACCTCCCGGCTACGTGCGTTGGGTGGAAGAATTAATAACATACGTGCCTTAGAGTTGCCCAAGGAGAAAACCCGATCCGAAGTTGTCTGCAGTATTCGCTTCTTAGATGGCCTGGTACAGACCTTTAAAGTTAACGTAAGTTCTGCACATGAAGTTCTATTCTATTTTTTTTTTTTTTATTTTTCCTTTTCTGAATCCACGGCCCTCAGGAATAGTTTTTCAATTCTGGGGTGTATTCCAATGAAGAGAACAGACGAAAATGAGAGCTCTCATACCGTTTTCTCTGTTGAGATTGAACTAGGAGTCCCTGTAAAAGCCGGCCCTCCACCTTCCCCCTGCCCCCCTCCCCGTGATTACCGCAGAATGACACGTCAAGTAAGGTGCGTCCCTTCACACAGCTAGCACAGGTTCAGTCCCCAGCACCCCTTCTGGCCCTCCCAGCCCTGTCAGGAAAAAAACCCTGAATACTGCCAGGTACGACCCCCAAACTGACAGAAAGGAAGAGGAAAGCAGTTACTTTCATTCTCTCGGAATTTGTCCTGCTTCTTTGTTCCTTTTATTTGATTTTTATTTTTTATGTGTGGGGAGGAGGTTCACCCAGCAGTGCCCAGCGGCTATTCCTGGTTCTGTGCTCACGAGTGTCCCCTGGCAGTGCTCAGGGGACCATGTGCAGTGCCTGCCACCCTCCACCAATACGGCCAGTTTCCTTTCCAGCCCCCGCACCTGCCTCTGTGGCAGGCACTTTCCCCGTCCCACAGTGTCCTAGTGTTCCCTTCCCTAACTCATCCCCGACTCCAACCCCCCAGCGCCAAGCTTCCTGCGGAAGACCAATTCTCCTACTCTTCGTTTCTATGGCCGTTTGATATTCCCCTATGAGATTTCTTTATATCCCACCTATGAGAGTGGTTATTCTGAGTCCGTTCCTCTCGTTTCACTCAACATGATACTCTTCAGATTTATCCACGGTGCGTCAAATTGCATGTTTTTGTCTCTGTGTAAGGCTGCATAGTATTCCATTGCATAGATGTGCCGTAGTTCCTTTATCCGGTCATCGGTTCACGGGCATTGGGGTTGTTTGCATATTTGGACTGCAGTGTACATAGGAGTACAGATGTCTTTTCTGATTTGTGCTTTCGGGCCCCTTGGTGTATATTCCTAGGAGCAGAATTGCCAGGCCACAGGGAAACTAAATTCTTAGTTTTTTTTTTTTTCCATTCTAGGTATTTAAAAGAATAGTAAAGTAAAGTAAAGGCCCTCCCGTTGATCATCGATTTGCTCGAGCGGGCCCAGTAACGTCTCCATTGGAGACTTTGTTGTTACTGTGTCTGGCATATCGAATACTCTCGGTAGCTTGCTGGGCTCTCCGAGAGGGGTGGAGGAATCGAACTCTGGTCGGCCATGTTGGCTGCATGCAAGGCAAACGCCTTACCCGCTATGCTATCGCTCCAGCTCGCTTCTCGGCCTTTTGGCTGAGATCAAGTGTAGTATTTAAAAGAATATTTTATTTTAAATGCATAAATACAAAAACTTCACACCTGCTATTCTGAAAGAATTACAACATGCTGACAGTATTATTTTGAACTAGTGAGTCTCCCAAAGCAATTGATTTTTTTTTCCTTTTTGGGTCACATCTGGCAATGCACAGGGGTTACTCCTGGCTTTGCACTCAGGAATTACTCTTGGCGCTGCTCGGGGAACCACGTGGGATGCTGGGAATCGAACCCGGGTCGGCCGCATGCAAGGCAAACGTCCAACCCGCTGTGCTGTCGCTCCAGCCCCAGCAATTGGTATTTTAACACAATCAACTTGGCCCTGTTCACTTCACTTGTGAAATGTCTCTGAGATGGGGGTGACAAGGGGAAGCCCAGTTCTCTTTCTCTTGGACACACCCCGCAATGCTCAGGAGCGACCCCAGGTTCCATGTCCAGGAACGATCATGTTGGTGCTGGGGGATCCTGGGCAGTGCTCCAGGCCGTATCAGCAAGATGCGAGGCAGGCACCTCATCCCTCCCACCCCAGGAACGTCCATTTTCAATACCCCAAACCCTTCCTAGAACATCCGGTACAAGTCCATGAGCTTCTATTAAGACATGAATAACTGCAACCTCAGGTGATGGCTTTGGCCCTATTTCTTTACCGTGTAGTCATTACTCTGGCCATCAGGCTGACTCGGGGTGCAGACCATCCGCCTTGGTCCAGGTGCTCAGTGACTGAGTGAGTGGCTTTGGGCTTCTGGCCAAACCCCAGGTGCGGTTCCGGGCGGGGAGGAAGAGGAGTCTGACTCCTGGGCGCGGAACTGATACCCAGTGATGTTACTCCCGGATGCCTCACTGCCGGAAGGACCCTCCTGCCGTCCCCTGGATTCCCCACTCCTGGGTGAGGTCTCCCCGGCGTCCCCGACCAACCCCCAGCTCTGGGGAAGGCGCTGCTCTGGTGAAGCCCAGGCTCCCTGGAAACCCGCCGGCCAACAGTGACCTCCTTCTCCTCCGAACCTGGCCCCTCGATACACCCCCAGCTCCCCGCCGGGCCGCCCCTGGTCACGGGAACGTTGATGCTCAAGGGGCACAGGCGCTGCTGCAAAGGGGGCTTCTTGCCCCCTCCTATGGGCCATCGCAGCCACGCCGTCACCAAGGTCTCCTCCCACCCGGGCACCCTCTGCAACTCAGTTCTCGCTAGAAGGCGGCAAGGGTTGCCGCTAGGGCGACCCCTGGGGTGGGAGAGGGGGCCTTCCTGGATGCTCGAGCGAAGGCTGGCACCCCACTCTAAATTCTTATTTTTTTGAGGCACCTCCATATTGTCTAGCCAGAAGCCTGGACCCTGTCGACAGTCCCACCATGGGCGATGAAGGTCCCTTTTTCCCCAGTCTCCGCCAAAACGGGCTAGAGAAGGAACCTCTTTTACGAAAGCCAGATGAGCCCCGGGAGTAGCCACGGGGGGAGCAGCGAGGCAGAGTGATAATCCCAGGAAACCTTAGCAGCGGCCTGGCCTGTGGTCGATCGATTTCAGCTCAATCCTCCCTTGTTGACAGGCGCCCAGCAGCCTTCTGCAGCTTCACTCGCACTGAGCTGGGAGCGGGAGGGCCTGTGGCCGCCGAGACTCTCCCTCGGGTTCTAGTGTTCCGCTCGTGGGGGATGGTTTGTACCACGGTGGGAACAGATTTTTAAGACCGGGGTTGGGGCGGGGGGCGGCCCATCATGGGACCGGAAGCAGGTATCAGTGGGGTGGGGGTAGGGGGCTGTCCTGGGCGTCCACCACTCTGGGAGCAGCCTGGTGAAAAGAGTGTCTCCCTTGAGTTGGCATAGCCAAGATGACCTCTTGCGGGGCGGGGTGGAGCCAGGAGGCTGGTTACATGCTCCTTGTGGCTCTTACTCTCCGGGACTTTTAATTCCTCTTGAGAGCCCGGGGAGCTGTACAGAGGAGAGCCTGGCTGACTCACGCACTCACTCCGGCGTGGTGGGGACAGGCGGGCGCCGACCTCCCACGGATCTGAGTCAGGCCTTCGGGCCGCCGTACCCGGGCTGACAGGCTGAGCTGCCCAGTCTCCCAGGCCTTCCTTTGGCGCCCCCCCCCCCCGCCCCGGGGGATGAGGCTCAGTGAAAGAGCAGTGCCTGGCGTGTGGGTTCAATGCCTGGGTTGCAATCCCTGGCCTTGGGGGAGGGTGCACATGAGAGATCGAGGAGACAATGCCGAGAAGAAGTCGACCATGTGCCTGGGACACTCACGCCCTGGCTTCTGTTCCCTGCACGGTGTGGCCCTCCGCACTCTGCTGCTCCACGCTGCATTGCATTGCCAGGCCCACGTGGCCCAAGCCCAGTGTCACAGGGAGTGGATCCCGGGTTCCGGAGAACAGCTAGGGCCCCCCCCCCACACACACACACACATACACCCAACAGCGCACCTACTCTCCTGTCTGGCTCCTTGTCAATGTGTTTGGCAGGTCATAGTAACTGATAAAGATTAAACACAGGATCCTATGTCGGAATCATGTCAGCACCGGTGGGGTGGGGGAGAGAATGGTTCTCCGAGACGGCAGGAGGGTTAGCTGGGATTTGGGGCTATGTGGACCAGCACATCCCTCCTGGAGATGTGAAGTCACTTTTTTTGAGAGTACTTAAATTATGCTAACAGTGACTTTCAGGTTTATGTGACATTAGTTCTCATCAACATGCTACCCCTGAGATCCAAACCCGGTTCATCTCCTGGCTATCTTGCCACATCTTTTGCCATGTGCCACACCCCGACGCTGGCCACCACCATCTGCTCAGGCTCCATGAGGTCAATGTTTTAGAATTAATGTTTAAGTGAGATCACACGGTATTGGTCTTCTTCTTGTTTGCCGTTCTTCACTTGGCATAAAACCGACTTCATCTGTCTTCCTGGTGCCATCACAGCTAGTATGGTTGCTTCTTTTTTTGATAGTTGTCATTTTATCTTTTTCCGTTTCTCCATCAACTTTTAGACGATTATTTTGTTTCTTGAATTCTTGCCATCGTAGACTCTTACTCTGTTGCCATCACAAGAAAATTTGGCTTCAGAATAAGTACTTTGACATTGAAACATAGACTTACCTAACCCTTTTCCATAATTTTCTGTACAACCTAAAAACCAGATAAGTTTCTCGCACCTCTGCAAATGTTGTTTCCTGTTCTCTTTCTTGAATTTCTCTTTCTGTTCTCCCGGGAGCAGGAGAAGGGTGGGTGTGCCCAGGATCCCCTGTCCCTGTGCCTCCCAGCAAATACCTAGAGGCAGTGCCCAAGAAAGCACGGGCTGGGAGTTCCTGGACAGCGAAATCTGTCTCTCCTTGTCCTTGTCTAGGTGACCTATTTTTCAGCCGTGTTGCCCACTCTCCGGCACTCCAACAAAAGGCAACCACCTCTGCTTACTTTGTACTGGGTATATTTCTGACTCCTATTGTTCTCCAGTTAAAGGATTTGCTTCAAAGGACCTGGTCAAGTCTTCGGTTTCCCAAAGGCGCCCCGCTGTTCCCCAGCCCTGCCCTGGGTCTGCCTTCCTGAGCCTGGCCCTCTGCTAGGAAGGCCTTTGCTTTGTGCCTGCACTGAGTGTCCAGGGCTTGGAGGGAAGCAGCAGTCACCAGCCCCAATCCTGGGCAGGTGTCACAGATCCCACCCGGGGTTCCTTTCTTGTATCCCTGGCTTCCTGAGCATTTATCAGCCCCTGATCGGCAGGGTGAGGGAAGGGGCTTCACCAGGATGCTGAGTGCTGACATTAATGCCTGGGAATCTCAGCTACGGGGAAGGAAGACAGCTCAGAACTTAGAACGTAAACTGAAACTCATAGTGTCTTCAATCATCTTTTTGTCTTTTTTTTTTTCAATGCTCACCTTCTCACATCTACAGTGTGACTTTTTTTTTTAATGAAGTAAAATAGCGTTGATTTAAAGAATTGACTTAGAGAAGTGTGAGAGGAGAGAAAGAGAGAACATGGACTTCTCCAACGGGGAAAAAGCCCATGACTTATTAACTTATACCTGGCAGTGCTCTGGGGTCACTCTTGGTGGTGCTTAGGGCCCATGGTATGGGAGAATCAAACTCTGGTCTTCTGCATGCAGAACCTGCACCAGTGCTCCTCTGTCCTAGAAGGAATTCTTTTCATGGGTTACAGGGGCCAAAGATATAGTATAGTGGTTAAGGCACATAACTTTTTTCCTTTTTTAATTATTAGACAACTACATAATCTACTATCTCACATGTCCTTTCCCCCACCTCTTTTGGGGTCACAACTGGCAATACTCAGGGTTATTCCTGATTCTGCACTCAGGAATTATTCCTTGCAGTGTTTGGGGACCAGATGGGATGCCAGGGATAGAACCCAGGTTGACCGAGTGCAAGGCAAATGCCCTACCTGCTATACCATTACTCCAGACCTGGTTAAGGCACATACTTAAATGGGGTTAAGGCACACACCGGCTGTGTTCAGGTTTTACTCCTGGCTCTGCCCTCATAGATCACTCCTGGTGGGGCTCAATGGACCAACTGTGGTAGCCAGTAATTGGACATGGGTCAGCCACGTGCCAGGCTAGTGCCACACCCACAGTCCTATCCTTCCTATCTCTCCGCCCCCTGTCTGAATGTTTTTAACTGTGTATCACCAATAGTCAAGACATTTAAACCCAGTTCTAAATTTCTTGAAAACGTGACCTCCTTTTCTTTTTCTTTCTTTTTTTAATCTAGAAGCAAGATACAGGTCAAGTTCTCCTGGATCTGGCGCACAACCACGTGGGTGTGTCCGAAAAGGAGTATTTCGGTTTGCAGCACGGAGATGACCCAGTCGAATCTCCTGTAAGTGGCGTCCCCTGAAGACACACTGGGCACCCGTGTGGTTGGTTTAATATCTTGTGTTTTCTCACCCAACAGAGATGGCTGGAATCAAGCAAACCCATCAGGAAACAGCTGAAAGGTGGGTGTGACCTTCTTGTTCCAGTGACCATGGGGGATTTCTGTGGCTTGGCCCTGTTCTCTCGGGCCACCAGTGTGTCTGTAACGTGGGGTGCCTGAATGGGCTGCTTGGGGCAGTGAGAGGGGGCCAGTGCCTCTCTGTCTGATTTCAGAGCAAGCAGCGATGCTTCCAGAGCAGGGAAAGAGGAAAGGAGGTGGCTAAGAGCCAGCCACTGTCCTTGGGGGTATACACACACACATACACACACACACACACACACACACACCCCACACACATACACACACAGCACAGTGCCATCCGAGGGAAACTGAGGCACAGAGAGGCCATGCCCCCCACCAGCTCACCAACCAGGAAGGGAATCCGGGGCTAGGTGGACTTCTTGGGCCACACCCGCCTCTGCTCAGAGCTGTTCTCAACCTGGTCCTCCAACCTTTCTGTTCCTTGAGCCCCAGACAAAGCTGATGGCTGATGCTCTTCTCTCTGACGCCTGCCTCTCTCTCTCAGGAACACTTTGCCCTCCCCCCGCCCTGCTGCCCTGGCTGGCCATCCTGCAAGGCCTCTCGGACCTCCTCTCTCCTCTCTGATGCTGCGCTTCCTTCCACCCTGCTTTCCAGATACCCTGTCTGCTTCCAGCCCTGCTGGAGACTTCCTTCATCTTCTCTCTGCACTGCAAACTCCTTGAAGCAAAGACGCTTGTCATGTCCCTTCTGCATCCCTTTCAGCCCCCCTCTCCTTCCATGGGGTGGCCATTAAATGGTTGAGGGGTGAAGGCAGGGGGATTGATAAAAATGCATGATCCCACATGCCCCCAGTGTGGCCCCGGGTAGAAAGGCATGGAGACAAAGAGTTCTGGCCTTGTCCCCACCCGAAGCTAGGGCCCTGGACCTTCACCTCCTGTGAGCATGTCCTTGGGCCTCAGAAGTGTCCACAGGAGCTGCGGGGCCAATCTCAGGGTACTTCCCTTCCTGCTTCCCATTTGGGACCAGGCGCCAACTCACTCACCAAACCAACATGTCAAGTGCAGACTTGGGCAGGACACTGGGCTGCCCTCTAGGAATCTGCCCTCAAGGAACCCAGACAGACACGGCGCCGTGGACCTCCAGACAGATAGTCCCAGGCACTGAGCACCAGAAAGGATGCTCTACGTGCTGAGAGAAGGCCAGGACACAAAAGGGACACATCAGATTCAGGGCAGGAAGCTGAGCTGGTCCCGATGTACCCAGAGTTACAGCGCCACCCTTTGGCCCCCAGACCTTTGTATAGAGGTACCTACCACAAAGGTGCCCGCACACCATCCAAATGTTTGACACAAGCCAGAGACAAAGCAAAGAAAGAAGGCTCGAGGAGAGAGGAGGGAGGAGGCAGGAGGGACTGGGCTGGGGGTGGTGGTCGCGGGAGGGAGGGGAGCACAGAAGGGTGTGGATAGCACACTGAGCATTTCCAGGGTCCCAGTGGGTGTGTACAGAGACAGAGCGATAGAAGGTCGACACTGCCTTCCGATCTCATTGGCACCACCTGCTCTTGTCCTTTGCCATGTGCGGGCAAGGGGAATTATTCCGGGTGGTCATGTGCGAAGCTGCATCTGAGACTGTTGATGATACAGTATGGGCAAGTATTAATTAATCACTTGGGGGATTCACTTTGCATTAGAAGCGTGAACTAGCTGCCAGCGTTAAAAGAACTTTTTGAAATACGGCAAAGCAGAATCAGCAGCTTCAGTGCTGGGATTCTGATTTTTTCCGTCCACTGATGGAAAATGCTGTGTGACCTGAGGCAGATGACTTAAACGTCCATAAGCCTGTTGGTCTGTGTCCCTGAGGCCTCCGATCTGCCTAGTTGTAAGGTACTCAAGTGCAGGCTGTTCATGCCAATGTTCAAAAAAGTATGAAATCTGTGTGTGGTGGGAGAGAGATTATTTCTTGTTTAAAGACTTCTCAGGTTCCAAATATAGAAAATGGGATGCGTTGTTTGAACACAGGCCCAAGTTAGTCCTCGGGAAGAGAGGTCTAACTTCTACACTAATGGTACAGAATGATTTTCCTGTAAACGTGGGAACTTCTGAACAGTTTACTTGTGCTTCTGTTTGGAGGCTGGTCCTCTTTATTGTTGAAAACGGCTGTGGTCTGGTGAAAAAATGCGTCACTTCGGGGAGAGTGGCGGTTTTACATACGTGTGCCTTTTTTTAAAGGGAAAATTCTATTTGTTTTTGAAAAATGTTGTAGGAGGTTTCCCCTGTACTCTGCATTTTCGAGTAAGATTTTTTATACCTGATCCCAACAAACTGCAGCAAGAACAAACCAGGTAATACAATTCTTCTTTTTTTTTTAAGTTTTTTAACTTAGTATATGAAAATGAGTAATCACTAAAAATGTACTCTTCTGTTTGATCACTGTGGCCAGAATGTTGACTTGAGTAGAATTATACCAATCATTATTATCCGAGTGAAGATGGGGAGGGGCGGGCAGTGGGGGCCGGGGAGACAGGCACGCAGGTTGAAGTTATCTTTGGCTAATAAGCTTTCGGTCTTGGGGGCTCCTCCTCTCACCTCCCCAAAAGGAGTCGGTCTCAGCACACTCCTCTCTACGTGCTCCCCCCCGCCGCCCCCCCCCCCCCATCACCTCTGCCTTTTGAAGCTGCCCCATGCTTGAAGAGAACAAAGTCATTTGCTGCCAAAACAGAGAGATCTGTGAAGTCAGTCCATCTTGAATTTTTTTTTTTGGAGGGGGGGGTCACACCTAGCAATGCTCAGGGATGACTCCTGGCTCTGCACTCAGAATTACTCCTGGTGTTGCTGGGGGCACCATGTGGGATGCCAGGGACCGAACCTGGGTCGGCTGCATGCAAGGCAAATGTCCTACCCACTGTACTATCGCTCCAGCCCTCAGTTCATCTTGAGGTGGAATGATGCCTGGGTTCTACAGAAGGGACTAGATGCCCCATGCTTGTCTCCAGACTCAGAAAATGTAGGAGCTCTGGGGAGAGCGAGCCGGCCCGGCTTCTGTCTCTGTGAATTAGCAGTCACAGAGCAACCTGGGAACCAGATGAGGGAAAGACCCCCCGCCCTCCCCACCCCCAGCCTATACCAGAACTTGATTGTCCCTTGGGGCCCGTGGGTTGCCCAGTGGGGAGCAGTGTTTTCAAGGGGACCGAGGGCATAGGAAGCCTGAGCAGACCCTTCCCCTCCCCCACGGCAATTCTGAGCCCTTTTGTTCAGTGCTTTAGTGATATTAAGTTCATTTTTCTTAATGGAGGAAAGAACTTTCTTCGAGAAGGAAGCAGGGCACATTTCTGAGGATCCCCTGCTCTCGTGGACTCCCTGAGGCAGGTGCCAAGGGGCAGGCATGGACTCAGTCTGATAGGACTAGCTTGTTTGCCCATTATAAAGAGATGATGAACACGTGACCTCATGTTGACCTTTTTTTTCTTTTTTCTTTATTTTTATTTTTTTAATTTATTTTTATTTTTAATTTTTATTAGTGAGACACCATGAGGTACAGTTGTAGACTTACAAATTTTTGTGCTTGGGTTTCAGTTATACAGTGATCAAATACCCATCCTTCCACCAGTGCCCATTTCCCACCACCACATATCCCAGTATCCCTCCCACCCCCCACCCCCCCATCCCACCCTGCCTCTGTGGCAGGGCATTCCCCATTGACCTTTTTAAAAAAATATGTTAAAAGGTCAAAAAGGAGTCTGTGTGATGGTCCTTTGCCACCTTTGCCTACTCCTTCGCTCTCCACTCGCAGACACCAGGGATTTGGGCCGCATTTGCTGTGAGGGTTGGGTTTGAGATCTGTCTGAGAGATGTCTGGCCTAGGCCTTGTGCATGGGCCCTCAGCTGGCTCACAAGGGCACTTGGGGCTGGACAACTGGCCATGCAGGCAAGCTCAGCCCAGCGGACAGTCCTGGAGCGCAGCACACGGTGGGGATGTGTCCCCTGAGGATATGCTCAAAGGACCCTGCAGGGCTTCCCCAGGCCTGTTACCATGCACCAACTTCTGATCAAGGGACACTTTGGAAGCACTCGCCTTGGGTGCTGCTGCTCTCAGTTAGAGCTGTGGAACCACAGGTGGACTCCTGAACCCTGCCCGGAGTCCTCCCGAGCACTGCTGGGTATGATCCAAAAATAAAAAAATCAAAATAGAAACAGTCAAAACATAAAATAAAAAGTAAGAGAATATGATGGAATATATATATATATGTCTTATGTATGTTCACCCTTTTGATTTTATATATACATATATATTTATATGTATGAGTTGAGTACAAAAATGTGTTTTGCTTGGGGCTGGAGCAATCATACAACAGGTAGGATGCTCCCCTTGCAGATGGCTAACCCTGAGTTTGATCCACAGCACCCCATATGATCTCCCTGAGCTTACCAGGAGTGATCTCTGAATGCAGAGCCAGAAGTAATGACCAGAGTCATTCTTTTTTTAAGAAGCAATAGTGCAGAACATCTGGATTTTCTTTCCTTTACTTTCTTTTTTAATTCAGATTTTCTGTTCTACTTAATTTGCTTTATTGTGTTGTTTTTTATTTTTTTAAATTTTGGAGTTTCAGGCTTAGATCAGTTACTCTGATCTCTGTGCTCATGGATTGCTCTTGGCAGTGCTCAGGGGACCATATGGGGTGCTGGGGCTTGAACTAGGGTTGGCTGCATGCAAGACAAATGCCTTAATCGCTGCACTCTGACTTGGCTGGGCTCCCAGCTCTGACCCTCCCATCCCCCGCCTCTTTATTTATTTATTTTTGGAATTTGGTTTTTGGGTCACACCTAGCGGTGCTCAGAGCTTACCCCTGGCTCTGTGTTCAGGAATGGCCTTTGGTGCTGGGAAACCACATACAATGCTGAGCATTGATTCTGGACCAGATAGGTGAAAGGCAAACATCCAGCACCCTCGCCCTCCCAGATATTTTTAAAAAATTTTTATTAGTGAAACACCATGAGGTACAGTTGTAGATTTACAAATTTTTGTCTCAGATATTTTTTTTTAGTACTAGACCCAGGATTATTCCTCTGTTAATATGAATTTTTTTGTTCTGATTTTTGGGGGCCATACCTGGCAGTGCTTATTATTCCTGGTTTTGTGCTCAGGGATCACAGTCCTGGTGGTGCTCAGGCAGGGACACGGCCAGGGTCGGCCATGTGCAAGGCAAGTGTGATAGCCCCTGTCCATCGGCCCTCAGATGAACTTTTGTTGTTTTTTTAACTTAAGCCTGTATTCCTGACACATAATATCTTAGTAAGCCCTAGTTCTGTAGCCTTTCCAAGAGTAAGTTCCCTTGTAAAGAAATTCAACTCTCAAGCATCAAAGGAGCAGAATAGTCCTGTCATGTTTGTTGTTTCCTGTTTTATTTTCTAAAGATCCAGGCGACATTGTTTTGTTTTTGTTTTCCCGCTGACCTTGAGGACAGCCGTGGGGCTTCTTTCAAGTTTCTGAGGTTCTCCTGCTGCCGGCTCTTCTCAAAGACTTTCCATTAATCTTCTTGTTAAGTCAGGGTCTACGTTATTTTAAACCCGCACACCCGCTGAGCCTGATAAACTAATATCGTTGTGCACAGGCTAATTTATGGGCAGGCTGAAAAGTAGGCTCCCTCAAGATTCCTCGGAGGTCTCCGAAGCCTTGGGTTTCGTGGCATCCGTCTGACCTCTTCGTGCACGATGGCACAGAGAGTGACTCAGAAGCTTGAAGATCTGACAGAGGAGCACTTGATGAACGGCGCTCTCCAGTTCAGCTTCTCGTTTATATCCCTAGGAAGATTTGCTGATTAGCCGGGCTCATCAGTGAAAGCCCAGCTTACCCATTGGATTATCTGAAATTCTCTCCCTTCTCTTCTTTCTCTCGGTAGCATCGTGGGAGAGGACACTTAATTCTGGTTGAATGTCAGCTTAGATAAACATAGAAACAAGCTTGAAAAGGCCGATTATAGTTCCCCAAGGTGGGAAAGATAGAGATGCCAGCACAGAATAGACGTGAGTCAGCAAATGCACGTCCCCTGTCTCAAGGCTGGCGTTCGGTGCCTCGTGGGTCCTTGGGCATAATCATAGTGAGAGTGGTAAGAGCAGAACTTGGAAACTGATTCCAAGCTTTTTAGTCGTTTGTTGCCTAAAAAATTTGTAGGCTAGTTACATTCTTTTTTTTTATGACGTGAAAAAAAAAAAGGTTCAAGTAAGGTATAAGTGTCACCACGTAACATAGCTGGACACGAATTACCTCCTTTGCGTAAAAGCAGAGAGTGGTCCTACCTATTAAGAGGCTGAAATGAGGTGCTCAGTTAGGAAGCACCACACAGCCCAGAACTCTGCAACAGACAGGAGGCCGTAAAGCCATTTGATATGTTCATATCTCCAGACTTTTTTTGGCCTTTAAATGTATTTATACCTTTGAAGCTGCTTTGTTGAAATGGCCAGAACTCTCTCTCCTCTGCCCCAGAACATTTCTGCTCTGTTGTGTATTGTATTTCAAGAAGTTTCCCTTTTATCATCTTGGCCAGACGTTGGAATGTCTATCCCGCTTGAATCCGGGTTTTAAAAAGGAGCGGGAGCTAGCCGCCAAGTGTCACATGGAGGCCGCCTCCCTAAATATAACCTGCCCGGGGCCACACCCCACACAGGGCCAGGGTGGCCTGTAGTGGCTTGCTAAGCTCTGTCCCCAAGTCCGAATCCAGGGTTTGAAGTTGCATAGCTGGGAGTTTAGGGACGGAGGTCCTGGAGGCTTAGCGTTGACTGATGATTTTAGACTTTCGCTCAGGTGCCCACAGCTCCGGGGACAGAGGGAGGGAAAAAAAAAAACAAAACCAAACAAAAAACCCAGCTGGGTGTCTGCAGCCCAGCCCAGGAGGAAGCTTCACAGTCCCGCCGCCTCCTCCTCGCAGCTTCCCGCAGAGGGAATGTGGGTGTGTGGATGCCGTGTTCAGAACAGCGGCCTGTCAGCGTGCGGGGGTGCCGGTGTTGGAGGCCCGTGGATCCTGGTGCCGCAGATGCACCCGAGCGTGACGGGGGAAGGCCCCAGCTGGGGCAGGCAGCGGGCGGAGGGGCGCGGGCAGACGCTTCCACCCCAACCCCCTGTGGGCACGAGGCTGCCCGGAAATCATCCCCGTCACTCAAGACTTAAGGCAGCCCCGGGCGCCACTGTGCTCGAAAGGGCCACTGTGCTTTGTGCAAAATCATGCCTGATACTTGAGACCAGGAAAACTGGAAAGAAAAAAAAAGTGCTTTTATGAAATTTTGTTGTTGCTGTTGTCTTTAAAATGTACAGGTCTTGTCTTTGACTCATCAAAAATACTGTTTTTGCTTCTTTTGATGTGAGTGTTCTGAATTAACAAAAGCGATTGTTCCCTAGGCATTTGTATTTCTTACAACTGAAGATGGATATTTGTGAAGGAAGGTAATGAAACATTTTCATTCTTCTTTTCCTGTCCATTGGCAGAGGAGCACAGCTGCAGGTTCTGTATGGGGGCAGCTGTAGGTTTCTGGTAGTAGCATCAGACATAAGCCCAGACTGGGTCTGGAGAGCAGCGGTCTGTGTGCCATGATGCTTTGGGACATCTGGGCTCGGGCTCGGGAGCAAGACTAATGCAAGGTCATTTTCATTTTTATTTCAAAAGACAAGAAATAGCTCTCTTTCTGGTAAAGACCTGAGACCTTTACAAGGGAGGGAAGGGCCTTGAATGAACAAAAACCTTCTGGAGGAAGACATCAGGCAGAATTCAGGGTCACTTTGGGGGTACTCAGTAGTGATTCATTTTTTTTTCCTCCTGAGAAACGTTTTGCTTAGAGGTGTGAGCACCTCCCCGTGATTCAGCACTTTGTGCGTAATGGAACCATCCCTGCAGCTGAACCGTTTTGGTGTAGCTTGAGCCAGCCAGGAGGGACCCCAGGGCTAAGCTGCCTTCTTCCTCCACATGCTTTGTCTTCTCTTGGGTTTTGGAAGAGAGTGCAGCCGTCAGCAGGCGGGAGACCTCCCTGCTTCCTCTCACCCCTCTTTGTCCCCGTCTTGTTGAGTTCATCGTGGGAAGCCTTGAGTTCCTGCCCTGAGACAGCCTGTTGGGGAGAGAGGTGAGGTCAGAGCTCCCGGCCTGCCATCAGGGGCCAGGTGTCCGGAGGAGAGGCTGGTGGCTTGCGTCAGTTGTTGGCGGGTAGCTGCCAATGAGTCAGGTGTGGGACTGGAGGGAAGTGAGAGGGTCTCGCTGGGTGGTGAGACCCCATACCTCCCACGCCCACCTCTATACACCAACACCAGTGCAGGAAATCACGTTCCGGGGTTTTCAGCAGCACGTAGCGGGGGAGGGGATTCTCTTCACGAGAGGCTACTCGGACCCGCATCGGAAGGAGAGCAAGTGCGGGAGCGCGGCTGAAGAACCTCCAAGCAGAAGGCGAATACGGCACCTCCGAGGGTTGAAGAAGGGGAACCTTGAAGCAGTAGAGGGGCTTCGCTCTGGATCAGAGTGGTCCGAACTCCTGTGGCCTAGGGACATACTAGCAACCCCGATCCCGCCCCCCCCCCCCCCATCCCACCGGCCACGCTGTGTTGCCTACTTTGGGGACCTCTAGTCTAGATGGAAGAGTAGAGGGGCACCCCTTGGAGGCATCTGGCAGGTACCCAGGCGGACATTGAAGAGGGGTGTAAGGTGTGGATGTACAGTGGGAGGAGGAACCAGACACCCTTGGAAGAAGGGAGCAACCGGCTGATGGTGGCGGATTTAGGGGACTTGTGTTCAGCTTCCCACGGAAGGGAGGTGGAATCGCTTCTCCAGCACAGCGACTGGCGCCTGGCCTTTCCGGGGCTGTGCCCCAGCTCATGGGCACTTGAGCTCGAGCTCCTCCTGGTCCTGCCTGGGGCCCAGGCTCCCCTCAGCCACAGTGGAAGTGCAGGGTCTTTCTCCCCCTGCGAATTTGCTTTCCCACAGATGATGTGCCAGTCCCTCTTGGCCAAAGGCCGGGGCTCTACGGGTTGGAATGAAGCAACTCTTGGAAAACCCCCTTTTTTTCACCCTTCTCCAATCCACATGCCCCTTGTGGGACTTGTATTTTGGTTTTTGGGGGGCCATGCCCACCAGTACTTAGGGGCCACTCTTGGAAGTGCTCAGGAGACCATGTGGGGCGTCGGGGACTGAAACCGGCCGGCTGCGTGCCAAGGCAGGTGCCTTCACCCGAGTGCTGTCTCTGCTCCCCATCCCCTTGGAGGTTCTCTGTGAATCCTAGGGATCTGTTTATCCCTCTCATGGTAGAGACCTTGGTCTCTCTCATCAAGTCTATGAGCGGGGCCCCCCGATACATCCTGGGGAGTGGGGTTCCCTGCTCTATCTCAGGGTGGCATCAGGTCCTTTGTCCCTGCGACCCAGGTTCCTGCGCCACCTGGGTGTGGGACGGGCCTGCCTTGTTTGAATGGCAGGGGTGGGCAGGCGGTACAGATGCAGAGGTGGTATTTCCCTGCTGAGGACCCTGCACTTTTCTCGCAGATGGAGACCCAAAGCTGTGCAATTGTAGCCGGGCCTAGAGCTGAGTGTCAGCTCTCAGAACTCTGTTCGGGCTCTTTCTTTCTTTCTTTCTTTCTTTCTTTCTTTCTTTCTTTCTTTCTTTCGCCTTCCTTCCTTCCTTCCTTCCTTCCTTCCTTCCTTCCTTTGGACTCTTTCTTTTCTTCTCTCTCTCTCTCTCTCTCTTTCTCTCTCTCTTTCTCTCTCTCTCTCTCTTTTTCTTTCTCTTATTTATGGGACTGTGGGACTGTGGCGTTGCCCTTGAGGCAGAACCCCGTCCATCTCCCTGAAATTCATTTTCTTGCACCGCGTCCTGCCAGGACTCTGCCTGACATTGAATTGATGTGGTCAGTTTGGTAGCAGAGAGCATGGCTGACGATGTTCTTCTGTCGGAGATCTCTCAGTCTGCCGATGAGCAGGTCAATGCAGAGCTCAAGATGGAGAACAGACCTAGAAGGAACTTGTTGGGGGAGAATGGGGGCGGGAGGAGGGGTCCCCAGTGGGAAAGCATCCTGCGTTGGCAACGTCAGGACCAGCCCAGAGCCCTGTGGCCAGGAAAGGGAGCCCCCAGGCGGCTAGCCACATGAGTCAGAGGTGAGGCTGAGTCACGTTTGGGGAACTTCACGGGCTGCCATGGAAACTGCCTTTTCTCCACTTCCCACGGGACTGCTGACAGGACTGTTAGAGCCGCGGCTGCCCCACCCTGTGAGCCTCTCCCTCCAATGCAGCCAGCGTGGCATCCCCTGCCAGGGAGTCTTGCTCCAGGCCAGCCAGCCGAGCCCTCAGGCAGGCCCTGGGACCTAGAGTTGGTTGGAGAAAGGGAAGTGATGTGGCTTTTGACAGAAGTGGGAGTTTGGGAGGACAGCAGGCAGGAGGGAGCCAGAGAACCAGCTCGCATCCATGGGGTTTTGGGTTGTATGGGGAGAGATCGGGGCAGAAATTTGCAAGATGCCCTATCCGTTGGAAACTTCGGACTAGGAAACACAGTTGGGAATCTTCATTCATTTTTATCCCCCTTGGCTTTGGGGCAGTACCCAGCAGGGCTCTGGGCTTGCTCCTGGCTCTGCACTCCGGAATCACTCCCGCTTTGGGGGACCAGTTGGGGTGCCTCGGATGGAGCCTGGGCCAGCTGTGTTCAGACACGCTGCCCACTCTGCTCTCTCCAGCCAGTTGTTCTAATTCAGCTGAGCAATGTGAAGGTTACGGGAGTTTTAAAATTCTGGCTGCTCTTTAAAATGTCCCCATCCAAAAAGTGGGTACTCAGGAATCAGAATGAACAGAAGTCAGGGGTTTATGGAGAGATGCAAAGTTTCGTGTCTTTACCAGAAAGAAATGTAGGGACAGGCTGCTCGCTGGCCTGACTGTCCAGGCTCTTGTCAGAGAGACATAAACCCAACTGTGCTTGACCAGCCAAAACTCTGGCCAATACGAGACCTTTTAGCTTTCTGACATTTGTGCCTATATCTATGGTATATATGCCTCTCATTTATTGATTTTAGTTTTGGGGCCACACCGGTTGTGCTCCGGGCTCACTCCTGGTGGGCTCCAGGGGCCCTTTGGGGTGCTGGGAATTGACTATGGGTGGGGCACATTCAGTGCAGTCACCTTACACACTGCACTGTTGCTTCCAGCCCCCAAAATGCCTTTGAACTAAAATTTTAAAAATAGGGGCTGGAGCGATAGCACAATCGGGTAGGGCATTTGCCCTGCACGCGGCCAACACAGATTTGATCCCCAGTCTCCCATATGGTCCCCTGCGCACTGCCAGGTGTAATTCCTGAGTGCAGAGCCAGGAGTGACCCCTGTGCATTGCCGGGTGTGACCAAAAAAAAAAAAAAAAGGGAGGGGGGTCACATTTTGGCGGGGGCGGGGAATCTTTGCTTTACACTTATCTTACTTGACTCATTGAGATGGGGACTATCAGTATTTTTAGATTCAGGATGTCTCAGCCAGGAAGTAAAAGACACCCATTTCCTGATCTGTGGGTATGGCAGAGGGTTGCCGGTTCTTGTGTTCTTCTAACCTCTGTTTCTCCCAATAGGTTGACCTGTCCTCTTAACAGTGCGGTGGTTCTCGCCTCCTACGAAGTACAGTGTAAGTGACAAAGGGAGCCTGGTGCATGTGGACAGGTTCAGACCCATGTGTTCAGCCCGCTGCCTGCCGTTCCTCCTCACCTCGTGCCTTCCTTTCTCCAGGAAGTCTCTTGTCTGCAGTGTCACATCACCTTGCCTTTACTCTCCTGCCACTCAGTGGTAAAGGCAGTGGTTCAGGGCAAGCAGGGTGGTTGTGGGGTTTTCGCCCAGGGGAGCCCATATGTAGAGGACCCCCATCTCACACGACACTTTTCAGAGCTTTCACTCGGGAAGATTGGACTTTAATCTCCATGGCAAACCCCAGTGAAACAAATATTTCTACCAGTCACCTCTCCCCGATGTGAAAACTGTCACCTAGTTAGGTTAAGGAGTCTACCAGAAGTTTCCCGGCCAGTGACACAGTGTCATTCTGAGATGCTGCTGGGACCGTAGGCATTTAGATCTCCCGGGCGATGTTGTGGTCTGCAGGGTAACTTTTCACTGGGAATATAGTGTGAGGCAGCAGGTAGTAATTTAAGTCTTCTATCTGCCATCTTAAAAAGTAAACAGAACAGATAGGATTAGGCTTACTGTAATTTATTTAACGTAGAGGTTATAAAGTGTCGTTTTAATATATAATCAACGTAAAAAAGTATTCAAGGTGTTTTACCTTTTTGCTTGGTGAGCTTGGGCTCGTATCTAGTGATGCTCGGAAGCTCTTCCCGACTCACAGCCCGGGACACTCAGGGATCCCTGTGTGGGATTCGAACCAGGATCAGCGGGAGGCAAGGCAAGTCCCTTAACCACTGCACACTTTCCCTATTTTTTTGGTTTGTTTTCTCTTTTTCATAGCTTGAAGAGCAGTCCAGATTTTGCACATGCAGCACATCTTTCTTCCACCCCTGTTTTAATTGAATCACCATGAGATACAGCTACAAAGCTTTCATGACAGAGTTTCAGTGATATAATGATTGAACACCCATCCCTCCTCCAGTGCTCATTTTCCACCATCAATATCCCCAATATCCCTCCCGCTGCCCCCACCCCATCCCACTCCCTGCCTCTGTGGCAGGCTCCTTCCTTTACTTACTCTCTCTCTCTACTTCTGGGCATCGTGATTTGCAGCACAGATACTGAGAGGACATTGTGTTTGGTCCTTTATCTATTTTCAGCACACATCTCCCATCCTGAGCAATCCCTCCGACCATCCTTGACTTAGTAATCCCTTCTCTATCCCAGCTGCCTTCTCCCCCAGTTCATGAGGCAAGCTTCCAACTGTGGAGCGAGCCTCCTGGCCCTTGTCTGTACCGTCGTCCTTGGGTGTTAGTCTCACATTAGCACATCTTAATATGGACGAGGAGTCACACTTAAGTGGCACAGCCTAGCCATAGGGGGCGGTTAGTGACTGCCATATCGCTGTACTGGATAGAGAATCCAAACGGACTTGTTCAAACTGGAGTAGGAATCTACCTGCTCCATCTGCACACCTGACTGAGTTCATATTCCACAGAGGGCACTGGGTAGGTGGCGGGTTTGCGCAGTGAAAAGGTGCATGGCCAGATGGAAGGCTCAGTACCACCTGGCACTCGGTTTGCCACGTGGCACCAGTGCAGCACATCAGCACAGAATTCCTGCGGAGCCCCCTGGTCCCTTGGGACTGATGCAGGCCCCGTTGTCATCCTATAAGCCCCCAGCCATCGTGCCTCATTCTACCGGCTGAGTTCGGGTCTTCTCTGAACTGACTGCTTCGTAGGGAGTTAAAGGTGAAAAAGGTGGCCAGGTTCTGCAGGAGGTGTGTTGGCTCAACTTCTTCCCTTCCCTTCTCTGCTCTCTGAAGACACAACAGAGCAAGGGAGAGTTGTCAGACATTTCTGAGTAGGCCTGCTTGTTCCCCCCACCCAGCACGGTGGCTGGCGCTGCAGCCTCCCCAGCCACCTGCCACCTGGGAGTGGATGAGAGCATCCTGATACTCTGCACACAAGGCACCTCGGGTTAGTCTCCCCACAGAGCCCAGCACTGCTCCTCACGTGGAAAACTCCAGAGAGACAGCAGCCGCCCTGGGCCCCTGGGAGCTGGGAAAGTTCCCTCTCTCCACCTGAAACAGAGGTGGCCATGCCCCAGCCTGCTGGGAAATCGTGCCGCCTCCGAGTCGTTTTTTTTAAAATAGGTTTTGTTTTAATTATTATTATTATTCAATATGCCAGACACAGTAACAACAAAGTCTCCAATGGAGACGTTACTGGGCCCGCTCGAGCAAATCGATGATCAACGGGAGGGCCTTTACCTATTATTATTATTATTTTGGTCACACCCGGCAATGCTTATGGGTTACTCCTGGCGTGCTCAGGGGACCATATGGGATGCCGGGCATCGAACCCGGGTCAGCCACGTGCAAGGTAAATGCCCTCCCCACTGTACTATTGCTCCAGCCCAGCCTTCGAGTCTTTTGCACTCTCTCTGTTCCAGGCTGATCTGCTGAGGTAACCGAGCGCTGCTGCCTGGCGGAGCAAGCCCCGTGTGCGGGTAGAGCTGCAGGCTTAAGGCGTGGGAGCCGCAGGAAGGGCAGAGCTGTGAGAGCCCCGCAGGTGCCATCCAAACCCTGGCTTCCCTCCGGGCTCTCACCTCCCTGTCAGAGGATGCCTCCTTGTGTGATCTCACCTCATTCGATCTCACCTCAGTTTTGTCCCCCACAAAAGAGAGGCGACGATGGTGATGGTGATGACCGGCGGTATGGCTGCTTGGTTTGTGTAATGGCTGTGGTGGTGTTCCGTATCTGTAACTAGAAATTTGATCGTTGGATCGTGGCTCTGGAGCTAATGGGGGACACGTCTCCTGGGCCTGGTTTTTCCACCCACATGCCTTTGAGTATCACTAGGCCCCAGCTTCTCCATCTGTCCACTGGGGATAAAGAACGCCTACGTCACTGGACTAGAGTAAAGATGAAACAAGTTCCCGTAAGTGAAGCACTCAGAATGCTGCTCCTTGTTGGCCTAATGCTATTCTTTTTCTTTCTTTTTTTTTTTTTAATTGGGTCATACCCGGAGATGCTCAGGGGTTAGTCCTGGCTCTGCACTCAGAAATTACTCCTAGTGGTGCTTGGGGGACCATATGGGATGCTGGGAATCGAACTCAGGTCAGCTGCATGTAAGGCAAACGCCCTACCCACTGTGCTGTTGCTCCAGCCACAGTTACGCTATTTTTTTGGAAGTCTTTTTTTTTTTTTTAAATATGCTTTCTGGGTCACACCCAGCGATGCACAGGGGTTACTCCTGGCTCTGCGCTCAGGAATTACTCCTGACTGTGCTTGGGGTGGGGATCAGATGGGATGCTGGGAATCGAACCTGGGTTGGCCACATGCGAGGCAAATGCCCTTCCTACTGTACTATCGCTTCAGCCGCAGTTACGTTATTCTTATGTCTCACCAGAAGCAAACTATCCACAGAGCTTCCCATTGTAAATAGTAGGCCTGTTGTAGAGTAAAATTTAAGAACCAAATTTAAAAATTTTACACTTCAGAGGTCAGGCCCTCTCTGTTAAAGTAGCAATAGTTTGGGTGTAATGGAAGTTGTTTTCATCTACAAATATGCAAATCAGTGGTTGCGATTCATGTGACTTGCATTAAAACTGTGGATTCAGGCAGGGAGTTTAAAGTATAAAGGTTTTATTCATCCAACTTTAAGGTAAGGTAAAGGCCCTCCCGTTGATCGTCGATTTGCTCGAGCGGGCCCAGTAACGTCTCCATTGGAGACTTGGTTGTTACTGTGTCTGGCATATCGAATACTCTCGGTAGCTTGCTGGGCTCTCCGAGAGGGGCGGAGGAATCGAACTCGGGTCGGCCATGTTGGCCGCTTGTAAGGCGAACGCCCTACCCGCTGTGCTATATATTCTCCTTTCCCTATCACATGCTTTTGTGCATGCACTTCTATATTCTTGGCTATGAAGTTGCTGAATCTTTATCTGATGCAGTTTTCTAAACTGTCCCAAGAGGCTGGAGACAGCAGGTGGGTCACTTACTTGCACATAACCAACCTGCGTTCTATCCCTGGTTCCACATATGGTCCCTTGAGCCCACCAGGAGTGATGCCTGAGCGCAGAGCCACGGGTAAGCCATGAGCGACTTTTGTTCGTGCCCACCCACAACAAACAGAAATAAACTGTCCTGAGAGGTGACTCAAGTGTGATAATAAAGTCTACTGATTACTAGTAAACCAAAAGCACATTTTCTCACTAGTCAAAAGGAAAGTGATTCATAGTGAAAAGTGTCTGCAAAGACTTCATGGTGGCAAGGTTGCTGATGGCCTGTCAAGGGCTTGCAACGCCCAGAGAATGTACATCACAGTTACTGTCCTCCCGTTGTTCATCGATTTGCTCGAACAGGCACCAGTAATGTCTCACAACAAATTGTGAGACTTGTTGTTACAGTGTTTGGCATATTGAATATGTCACCGGTAGCTTGCCGGGCTCTCCAGGAGGGGAGAGAATGTATGTAGCTTCTGGAAATATGGTCGTTCCGTAATGTTTGTTGAGCCTCTTCCACACACAGCTTTTGCACTTGCCCTGGAATACACAGATAGTCTCTCTCCCTGAGGGGACTTGCCTGCAAAACGGTGGGTGAGGGGCCGGAGCGATAGTACAGCGGGTAGGGGAAAAGTTTGCCTTGCACATGGCCGACCCAGGTTCGATCCCCAGCATCCCATATGGTCCCCAAGCACCACCAGGAGTAATTCCTGAGTGCAAAGCCAGGAATAACCCCTGAGCATTGCTGGGTGTGACCCCCCCCCCCCCCCCCCCGAAAAAATGATGGGTGAGCACAAAGAGATCCTTCCCCCTGCTCAGGAGAAGGACAATGCCTAGAGAGAACAAGAGCTTCCTTGATTGGGATGAAGTTAGAAGAAGTGTGTAAAAGTCTCTCGCACCAGAAGAGCACGCCTCTCCGTACACTGAATACAGACACTCCCACAGAATAGGAAGTATTAGTTGGGAGAAAACAGGAATCTTAACAAGACCAGGTACGTTCCATCAAGCACACGTCCTTCCTGTTCTCTACGCTAGTTCCCGTTTGCATGTGCAGCTCACCTGCAAACAGGTGGTAATAGCCAGGGTCTGAACGGTGGTGAGTCTGGGCTCCGTTTACCAACTGAACTGCCCGTTGAGCATCAGCCCCCTTATTTGTTTCATGGGGCTGGAAGCACTGCCTGTCACTGAGTTCTCATGAATCCCGGGGATGATGTGTGAAATCAGTGAAACCTCCCTGGGCTCTGAGATGTGAATATAGGAGGAAGACCACACGCAACAGAGCCCACCAACGAAATATCATTTCAGTGGAAAAGCACAAATGTTAAAAGCCAAACATTTTTCTGTGACTTGACTAAAGAAACATCCTTGATGATGACTTTAGGAGAAAGGTTCAGGCTTTGGCATTGTTGGTTAATTCAGTGGATGACCAAGGCCGAAAGGCTCACCTGAGTGAAACAAGTCAATGGATTTACATTTGTTTGCTAGGGAGTCACACTGGGTGGTGCTAAGGGCTTGCTCCTGGCTCTGTGCTCAGGAATCACTCCTGGTGTGCTCAGAGGACTATATGGGATGCCGGGATGATCAAACCTGGATAGGCCATATGCAAGGCAAATGCCCTACCTGCTGTACTATTGCTCTAGCCCCAGTTGATTTAAAATTTAATAGGATTCCACCTTATGACTCAGGAAGTCATTTGTTCCTCTGGGGACATGATAACTGTTGTTAGCGAAAGGCCAATAGTAGCCTATAGACCAGAGGCTAGCAGAGCTTACCTGGGAACAGTCTTAACTCTGAAAAATGACTCTGGGGTGGAGGTAAGTCCCTTCTCTCTAAACATAGTTTCTTTCCCTGAGTATAAGTACAGACAGAATGCTTCTGAAATTTTCTCAGGCTTTTCTTGCGGGGGCCCCATGTGCCCGTTATCTCAATTATTACATTCTATAAAAGCATCATTAGACACCCACGTGCAAACTCACCTGTCTCTATGCAGCACTGGTGCTTACTTTGAACAACCATGATAATTTGGCCCATAGTTTAGCTACTTCTGGCTGTCTAGCCCCCACCGAGACTGTACACGTAGGTTTCTTGGCCTTTTATTCTCTGCCCTTCCAAAATCAAACCCTTCCAGGACCTCTTCAGCAGCCCACTGCAAGCATCCCCATCCCTGTGCATCTCCAGTGTGTTGGGCCTGGGTGCTCGACACTTAACGTGAGTCGGACTCACTTTATTTTATTTTGCTTGTTTCGTTTGGCCACAACCATCAGTACTCAGGGCTTACTCCTGGCGCTATGCTCAGGGATCACACCTGGCAAGGGCTGGAGGACCGTATGGGGTGCCCAGGTTTGAACCCGGACCAGCCGCCTTGCGAAACAAGTTCCCTCCCCTCTGTGCTCAGGCCTCACCCACCTGAGACCCCAACCAGGGGAAGGATGGAAAGATCCTTCGTTACCAAGCAGTGTGCATGGCCACGTCATGTAAAGCGGGGTAAGCCCTGGCATCTGACTTTTCAACCTCGTGAGGAATAATACCGATGCATTTTCGCCAACCCACCTCCTTCCTTGACAACAAAGGAGCCTTTCGATTTGCAACCCTCTGCTGAAGTGAGACTCAGGGATTCAGAAGCATCTTCAGGAGCTTCCTGAGATGAATGCTCAGTTGCAGGAACGAAGAAATTATAAAGATTTTTGACAAGACTAGAGTTAAATTTTTTTTTTCCCCTGTGTTTGGACTTTGCAGCAGACTTACTTCTGACTCTGGAGATCAGGGATCACTTCTAGAAGGGTGCGGGGAACTGCTTGGGGTGCTGGGGGATCGAACCCAGGTCAGGTGTGTGCAGGGCAAGCACCTTGCCTGCTGTACTCTCTCTCCAGCCCCCACAGTCGATAGTTTAAAGAAACAGGTGTAATACGTTTGTTAGTTAAGAAAATGGGGGGCAGTAGATTCATTGTCCACTGGAGCTATAAGCTGCTGTCCTCTTTTTCTGCTTTTTGAATCACACCTGGTGATGCTCAGGGGTTACTCCTGGCTCTGCACTCAGGAATTACTCCTGGCGGTGCTCGGGGGACCATATGGGATGCTGGGAATCAAACCTGGGTTGGCCGCATGCAAGGCGAACGCCCTCCCCGCTGTGCAACCTTTCCAGCCCCTCACTCTTATTCTCTGTGTGTAGACAGACACTGAGCCTTAGATAAAGGGAAGCAGCTGTGTCTAGGCCCCACGAGCTAAATCCAGGGTCACGCTCCCAGAGCCCTTTCCCAGTCTCCACAGACTAGAGACCAGCCGTTGAGGTCTGCCGTTGGCACCGACACTTGCAGGCTGGGACACATGCACTCAGGAATGCTGATCACACCCCATGTGGCATGGGTTTGGCCAGCGTTCTCAACCCCCTTCTGGCCTGATTTCCTTCCTGTGCCTCCACCCCCACCCCATCCTACCAGCCCCTCCCACCCCAATTTTATACTATGACTTATCCCCTTCCCACCCTGTTAACCTGAGTTTCACCTGTGATCCCCTTGGAATATATTGCCAGGAGTGCCAGGGGGCTATTTTGATACCCCCCCCACACACACACACACACTCCCCTGTTTGAGAAGCACCAGGCCAGGTGAGGGAGCTGTGTCTGTGGACATCTTAAATCGGGGATTTTAAGGAAGCATTGGCTCCTGGATCGGGATGTGTGTGTCTGAGAATCCCTCTGTAGCTTGAGGGCCCCAAAGTGATTTCTTTGGCTGCTCCAGCGTTTGCCTTTCTATCTTCTGACGCCCCTGAGAATACTTTGTGCTTCATTAGACTTCTTCCACCAGGCTTACCAGGACCCATATCCTGTACCCCCTCTGTGCTCCCCCTTTGTCCACACCCCTTACCCCAGGCCCCTGAGGCCATGCCCCTCCCCTTTCTTAGGCTTTTTTTTTCCTTTTTGGGTCACGCCCAGCGATGCACAGGGGATACTCCTGGCTCTGTTCTCAGGGATTACTCCTGGCGGTGCTCGGGGGACCCTATGGGATGCTGGGAATCAAACCCGGATTCGGCACGTGCAAGGCAAATGCCCTCCCCCCCACCCCCCGTGCTATTGCTTCAGCCCCTCTTAGGCTCTTCAGCAAGTGAGGACACAGTGGTCAGACCACCCCCTGCTCCCCCATAGTTCAGAGCGTACTAACCCAGTGGTATAATCCCCTTGGCAGTACTGAGAGCTGCTTGCGCCATCGGGCCTATGCTCAGCTTGATGCAGCACTCTGACAGCAGGCCCAGAAAACCTTGGTGTTGCTCCTTGGAGGCTCTGCTCGTTTTCCGGGAATCGGAGTGCAAACTCCTGGGCTGACAGCAGTCTTGTCACAGGTCCAAGGGGAGACCAAGGCTCAGATTTCAGTAGCACCTGCATCTCCTTCTCAGGTGGTCTGAGGCGGAGTGAGCCCCTGGCCCGAGCCCTTCATTTGTCACAGGGGATAGGGGGAAGCAGGTCATCAACGCAGACTTGCAGCTCAAGTTCATGTGGTGGCCGAACTTCTCTGCATGTCTCCATTGTCTGTTACTCCTCATGACGCGAGAGGCGTTTGTGAATACAGACCATTGAAGAGCCTTCCCCTCTCGCCTTCTGTCTCCATAGGTCAGTTTGGAGATTATAATTCTTCTACCCATCTTCCGGGCTATCTTGCCGAGAGTCAGTTTATACCAGATCAGAATGATGACTTTTTAAAGAAGGTAGAACTGCTCCATGAACAGCACAGGTGAGAGGAAGTGTGTGTGTGTGTGTGTGTGTGTGTGTGTGTGTGTGTGTGTGTGTCTGGGGGCAGGGAGGAGGGCTACTTTTGAAGGGTGTGTGTGTGTGGCCGGGGGCAGGGAGCGGGGCTGCCTTTGGGACCCCAGATTCCCTGATCAGACCTCCTGTCCTGTGCTGTTGGGTGTTGTCTCTTCTTCCTTTTGTTCAGGACTCCTCAAGCTATTGGGGGCTTCATGAGTCTTGGAGCCGCTAGGCTCGTAGATAAATATTTGGCACACCTAGCATTTCTGTGAGATCCAGTCAATGGATCTCAGGGTGATTTGCCGAGTTCTCCATGGAAATCAGTTCTTTCCCGAGCATCATTCCCACTTCAACTCTGACTGCCCACAGACGAGCTCTGCTAGGGAGACCTCTGAGCAGTGGGCCATGCTTGGCAAAGCAGGCCATTGCTTTAGGTACTGGTGAGTAGGTGCCTGTGCTGGCAGGCTGCCTCCAGGGGGTTCAGAGACGGTCCTGCTGGAAGGAAAGGGGTGTGCCACCCCTCTCTAGCCACGTGGGGCCAAGACTCAGCTTGGCTCAGCAAGCCAGCACTGGCCTCTGCTTCCCTCACCTCGTGCTACTCCAAACTGCAGTGGCAGCTGTGTTCGGCCCAGGTCAAATAAGGCCCCCCTCGGCCCCCCTCGCAGCCGAAAAGACCGTTTCTCAAGGGGCCTCACATTCTTGGGAAGGCCATAAAAACAAAGGCCAAGCAACCAGTGTCCCTTCTCAAAGGGCACCGCCGAACCTCTCTCCCAGATTGGTTGCCCAGGCCGAAGCCAGCATCCGAAAATAGGACAGTGACGTTGGGGAGGAGCTGCAGGCAGCCGCTGAGCGGGCGGATAAGGGCAGAGAGGCCAAAGAGCACCTCGGAATTAAGCAACGCGGAGTAAGTCAGGCGGGAATTCTGAAAGATGACAGTCTCTGGGGGCTGAGTGTCGAGTCTGCGAAGGGCAGTTCCTGAAGAAATGAGTCTGAACTCGGTGCACGGGGTGTAGCCGAGTAAGGGGTAGGCCGAGAGGAATAACCCAAGGCAGCTATCCGCCTTAGAGGAGTGCTGCTAGATTTTTATTAGTTTAGAAAGTTAGGATGGCCGTCCTCTGACTGTTGGTGAGCACGGCCTCTCTTCTGCTCCGCAGCGGACTGAAGCAGTCAGAAGCCGAATCGTGCTACATCAACATCGCACGGACCCTCGACTTCTACGGCGTGGAACTGCATGGAGGCCGGGTACGTATCCTGGCCCCTAGGCCTTCCGAATGGCGACCTTGATTGCACAAAGTCTGGAAACCTCTTGGGCAAAGTTGCATCTTTTCCAGCCTAATCAGACCGCCACTCCCCTTTATTTTTCCCCCTGGTACTTGGAAGGCTAATGAAGTTAGATTCATTTTTACTGGTTACCTGATTGCGACTCATCCATTTGAGTTGGTAATTTCCTAGGTGTGGGGGGCAGAGGCGCAGGGGACAGTCAGGGGATTAGAAACGAAAAGAATAATACGTATATTTTTTTAGGGCAGCACAGTAGTTTTCTTGAGGGAGGATACTAATTCTCAGGAGAACGTGGGATGAGGAGAGAGGAGGGAGGGAGAGAGAGAGAGAGGGAGAGATAAGGAAAAAGAGGAAGAGTGGGAAGGAGGGAGGGGGGAGCGAAAGAGAGATAGACAGACAGATAAAAACCCAAAAGACAAAGGAAGATTATGCTCCCAGAGGCGGGATGCAGTCAGCTCCAGAATGGAGCTGAGTGCACCACAACCAAGTAATTTTGTAAGAGCTTTTCATATCGTGGTTAAGGAGGCAATATAGGCCTTTTTAAAAGTGTTGCTTTAATAAGCCAAAGTTTCTTCCGCTTAATCTCAGTGCTGCTCAAATTAGAACTGGATGTTCAGTGTGATTAGATAAGTATGATGGTATGCTTGTGAGAATCAGTAAAGATTTCCCCTGGTACCTAAAAGTAGAACGCTATCACCATGAATTTCTATGGCAATTAGTAAAAAATTTTTCAGTGTTCCCAGGCCCTCCACAAAGACCCCACCAAATCATCCCAAATAGAGGTGCATTTTCCTTTCAGGTAGCCAGAGCAAGCCGTAAATAGCTTAAATGGGCTATAACTTTAAAAATGAAGCAGACTAATATTCGACATGCTCCCAACAATTTCTGTGTGCCAAATGCAGTGGCTTTTTTTTTAAAAAAATTATTTCCTGGAGTAATGCTTTTTTTTGTTTGTTCTTTTTTTTTTTTATTATTATTACATCCCATTGTACAGATAGACAAACTGATCATATAAAAGTTTGGGAAAGGTCACACCATACAGAATTATGGCTGCAGGGCATGACCCCAATCTGTGAGACTGGCCTCTGACCTCTAAGTGGTGACACCTGAGCGTTTTCTGCCCACAGCTGGCCCACCCCCAACAGGAAGCAAAGATCCTTGGGTTAAAGGCCAGCTGTGCACTCACCGTTGTTTCAGACGCTTTCCTGGGAGACCACAAATCCCCACGTAAAGATGACAGCAGCTGGTATGAAACCAGTCATCATCCCCTATCACTGCACTGCACTGCACGGCTGTATTTTTGCAACCCATAGAAACATGTTTATCTTGTCTCCCTCTGTTACCTTCAACTGTGTTGTGAGCAAGTTATGACAGGCAGTCAAGGAGGGGAAAGATACCAGATCCTCTCGCAGATCAGCTTCAGAATCTATTTGCAGCTAGAATTTCGTCTGTTGTGGTGAGAAAGTTCATCTGTGGTGAAGGGGACTTGATACGTGCCCAGGTTGATGATCTCTGCTCTTTCCACTCCCCTTGGGCCTGAGCGAAATAAGTCTTTCTGCTCCCCTGGGGGTCCGGAGGTCAGATAATTAGCTGCCTGCCTGACACCTTCAAGGTGCTGGAGGGAGTTAGGTTACCTCTGGCCATGGGACATCAACCCAAACTCTTTTAGCTCTTAACAACGTGATACTACATCGCTCTGTCCCACCTGCTTAATACTTACTTCCCTCTGGGATCACAGGGGTCATGTTTAAATACCAACCTGGTTCTCGCCATGCAAATCTGGGTTGGCTTCCAAGCATGTGATTTCCCAGAGTGAAGGCTCTGGGCTTTCCTTTCTGTCGGCATTGTCCTCTTGGGCCATTGCCTCTAACACCCCCTGTTGTCTTCTCTGTTTTTAAGTGATATGACCCACCATCATTAGAGAGGCGATAGGGAATGAAACTTACACTGCATGCCAAGCCCTGTTTCACATTCTTTTTAATCGCAGCATGATCAAAATCTGTGGAGGTAACTTCTAGAATCCCCAATGCCTGAAAAGGTTCAGCAACCTCAAAATAACACAGCTAATTAAGTGGCAATCTCAGGTTCACACTCAGGTAACTGAGTCAGCCCCTGCCTTGTCTTCCTAATTATGAGTATCTGATTGGGTGAATAGGAGTCTAGATGACTCAAGGAAGGGAACTGTTTTAATTAAAATTTTTGATTTATTTATGTTAACCTGTTCCCAACTGGATTTACAGCAGCTTATAACCGTTCTCTCTTTCAACTGCATCTTTGCAGTTTACAATACTGCCTACCACCTCGGCTCTCCGCGAGTGCTGAATGTATCGAATTCTGAGCTGTTTTCATTTAATCATTGGATGCAGAGTCAGCAGGTTGACACTTCATCCTAATAGCCGTCACCTTTCCCCATGAGAGCTGAAATATGTTTAAAGCTGTGCAGAGGGCGAGTTCTCTTCCGGTTTGAATATGGCATCTCGTCCTGACTGTTGGGGTGTAAACTGGAGTTTGGCTCTTTCACTCTTCCTGTGGATGGAGTGGACATGCGTGGTGACCCCTAATCTGAGAGGTGTCACGAGACATTGTTGGGCCACGTGCATTCGCCTTGGAGGAGTTTGGTGCTGAATACTTAGTTCTTTCTTTGCGTGTTTTCAGTAGCGTTTTCCCGTTGAAGCTGATGCATGCTGCACTTTATGACAGTGTGGGTGTCTTAGTTAGGGAAGACCCTGGACATGCCCGTAACACACTGTGCCTCTGGGCGATTCCTCTTCGTAGGATCTGCACGGCTTAGATCTGATGGTCGGAATTGCTGCTACGGGCATTGCGGTATACCGGAAATATATATGCACAAGTTTCTATCCTTGGTAAGTGCAAACCAGTTCCAATTATTTTCTGAATCATGCTTTGAAAATACACTGCACAGAACTAATGGTGTCTCTAATTTTAGACTTTTGTTTCTAAAGAAGGAACAAAATATGCACCCCCCCCCCATGTCTTCACCTCTGACTGCCACATTTTATTCAGATTCATAACTCGGGAAAATTTGAGTTTGGTTTTCTTTCGCATTTTCCTCTTCTTCAACATTCTTGTCCTTCCTCCCCTCATCTCCAGTCACCCCTCCCCCCGCCCCCATGGTGTGTGATCCTCTGTCAACTTGGGGACAAGAATGGCCCGAGTCAGGGGGCTAGGAGTGGAGGCATCCCAGCATCACATTCCCAGGCAGCACACTGGCCAGGGTTCAGAGAACTTCCTCTGGGCAGGAACTGCATTTTCTGTCCATTTGTTATTCACTGAACTCTAATCAAATGTTTATCTCTGGTCTAAAAACCACAAGCAGCCCAGGAGACGTGCTTCTTCTCAAGACAGCTCTGCAAAGCAGTGCTCTCCCCACTGCTAGGATTTTAGTGGAGGCTTGACAAGCTAATCCCAGGAGTTAAGAAGATAGTTCACAGGGCTGGAGTGTCTGAGTTCGATCCCCCACACGGCCTCCTGGTGCCCTGAGCACCAAACCAGGAATGACCCTGGAGCATCCAGCTAGAAGCAGCCCCTGAGTATAGCTGGGTGTGGCCCTTTCCTTCCCCCCCTCCCCAAAATGAGTACAAGTGGCTCTGGACACTTCTAGTTGAATAATCTTGAGCTCATTCTTTTTTCTTTAAGGTTTACTGGAATCTTATTGAATATATTTTATCATAAAGTTATTATTCAGAGCTCAGAATAATTCAAAAGATATTTGACTTTTAGTATTTCATATATTCCTCAAATAAATACATAGAACAACACATTTGAAAGTCTCTATTGGATCAGAAGATAGTCTAACAAATATCAAAAACTGTTCCCCACCGCTGAGTGAGTCCAGGGCACACACTTTTACCTGGTCACAGCTCAGTTCTTATTGAGCTGAGGTAAAACTTTAGAATTCCTCTTAACAGAACCCTTAAACTGAGGGGGAAATAAACCCTGTTTTCTAGTTGAGCTCATTGTTTATTTTGTTTGGGGGGGTCTCATTCGGCAGCGCTTCAGGCTTCCTCCTGCCTCTGCTCTCAGGGATCACTTCGGGCAGGTGGATGCCGGGGATCGAACCTGGGTCAGCCACGTGCAAGATCAGCGCCTTACTCGCTGGCCTCTCTTCTCGGGCCCCGTAACCTGGAGCTGTTGAGTGCTGTCTCTGGGCCTCCATTTCCTCTTCCAAAGATCCGCTATGGTCGCTACTTTTCAGAACTGATGACAGGCTTAGCTCTCGGGACCTGTGGAGAGCTTTCAGGGGGAGACCTGGCGTGTCCCATCAGTGATGGCTGTTATTCTATTATCCTGCAAATGGTAGGGAAGGTCTTTGCCGGGCACTGGGGCACAGCTTCTGGTCTGGCTGTGCTCTCCATCCTGTTTGGCTGCTCCACACTGCCCTCACCTGCCTTCCCTGGTACACACCAGCCCCCAGAGAGCTGCCGTGTCACAAAAGCAGCTGACGGCAAAGGGAGCACACTGCCCATGGTTCTTGTTACTTAAAAGCCGCATCACAGTCCGGCAGCTCTGCTGTGAGCCTCTGCTTCAGCCAACTACTTGGTGTCCGGCTGAGACGATGGAGCCGCCCTCAGTTCTCCGTGGAAGTAAAGTCTAGAAAGCCGAGACCCCTGGCTGGGATGGTCATGGAGTAGAGGACCCCTGGTGAGACCCCCCCACCCCTTCCCTCATCATATGCCTTTTTTTCTCCTCCCTTTTTGCAGGGTGAACATTCTAAAAATCTCTTTCAAAAGGAAAAAATTCTTCATCCACCAGCGACAGAAGCAGGTGAGTTTGAACTCCGGGTGCTCCGCGCGTTCTTTCGGGGTGCCTGTGGCTTTGAGTTCTTGGGCGGGCAATGGCGAGTTGCTGCAGGTGCAAGAAGCAATCCAGAGCCGGGCGGATGGACGGTGGGCAGGAGCCGGAGGGGTTGGCTCTTGTCTCTGGAGCTTCCCCTGCCTGGCTGCTTGGAGAAGACAGGGAGTCAGAGACAAAAAGGGCTCCGGTTCGCTTCGACTTTCCAGCCTGGCAGGTTACTTGAACGTGCCGATTCCAAGTTACCTTGTTTGCATAAGTGCAGCAGTAATGGTCCCTTCTCAGGGAACCTTGAGACTGAAACGAAACCACTGAGCCAAGCACCCAGCGGCGGAGCCCGCCACGGGGTGACACATGTGAGGGCCATGTGTGTGTGTGTGTGCGTGTGCGTGTGTGTGTGTGTGTGTTGTCCTGAGAGGAGCCCACGGTTTTCTAAAGAGAGAGTGAGATGGACCCAGAGGCAAACATAAAAACTAAAAGCCTAAGGCCATAAATCTGTAGAACAGTCATACTGCAAGGCAAGATTTCCCCACCCCCACCCCTAGGTTTTGGACCACACATGGTGGTGCTACTCCTGACTCAGGAGTAGAGAGTGAGACCCCACAATGAGAAGGGTGAACTTCTTTGACAATTGGAACGTCTCATGATGAAACCGAGATGCCTGCTCGGTCTGTGACCCCACATTGCCTGGACTGGCAGCCTCCTACCCCCCTACCCCCCCTTATTTCCCCGTGCCCATTTCCCGTATCTTTCAAAGATGATCTGTATTTAGGAGAGATCCACATCGCCACAAAACCTTAGAAGTGAGAACTCGAGAGCTCAGTACACACAGGGATCAGAGTCTCGATCCCCTGAGACCCTCTCCGACCCCATGCCTGCCTCCAGCGGCGCCTGCCCATGCAGAGGGGAGGGGGGCCAAGCAGAGAGCCACGGGAGATGGTGATCTGACCTTCACGCAGAGCTGAAGCCCGAGTCAGGTGCCGGTGAAGGAAATCATAGAAATGATTATTATAGATGAACTCTGAATTCATCTGTATTTTGTGGAACGCTCCCAGAGCAACCCAAAGGGCTGTAGAATTTCTTTTATTTGATAGATGAGAGATGATTTCACTTTGGGTGAGAGAGGTTCCCTGTGGGCCAAATTTTCAAAGGAATATATCAGTGAACTGCCCTTCTCCAGCCGCTCCAAATATATCCAACCTAGAAACGCAAGCAGATTGGAAATGAAAGTTTACAAAAGGACCATAGAAGATGATCAAAAATAGATTCTGGGGGCTGGAGCGATAGCACAGCAGGTAGGGCGTTCGCCTTGCACCAGCTGACCCAGGTTCGATTCCCAGCATCCCATATGGTCCCCCGAGCACTGCCAGGAGTAATACCTGAGTACGTGAACCATGAGCAACTCCTGTGCATTGCCGGGTGTGACCCGAAAAGCCAAAAAAAAAATCTGGTAATTTTGGGGGGAGCTGAGGTTGGGGGGAGCCAGGAATCATGCAGTGTGGGGTTTGGCCCAGGCTTCTGGCATACAAAGTGTGTGCACAGCCTTACGAGCTCTCTCTCCATCCCTGTGATCATCTTTAGTTATTAATTATCTTTAGGTATTAGCACAGCGGGTAGGGCGTTCGCCTTACAAGTGGCCAACATGGCCAACCCGAGTTCGATTCCTCCGCCCCTCTCGGAGAGCCCGGCAAGCTACCGAGAGTATTCGATATGCCAAACACAGTAACAACAAAGTCTCCAATGGAGACGTTACTGGGCCCGCTCGAGCAAATCGACGATCAACGGGAGGGCCTTTACCTTACCTTTACCTTATTAATTAACAAGTCCTCCCTGGGGCTGGGACCCTGCCACTAGGCCTGGAATGGACTTTTCATGCATCCAAAGCACCCAGTGGTTTGCTGGGGTCACCCCAAGCACTTAGCCAGGAGTAACACCACCATGTGTGACCCAAAACCGGGGGGGGGGCGGGGGGATCTTGCCTTGCAGTGTGACTGTTTGACTGACTTGTGGCCTTAGGATTTTTGTTTTTATGTTTGCCTCCGGGTCCCACTCAGCAGTGCACAGACGCCACTTCTAGCTCTGTGCTGACAAATCACTCCTGCAGTGCTCTATTGGCCACATGTGCCAAGGTCACATACGAAGCAAGAGCCTTCGCCCCATACTATCTCTCCCGCCCCACCAATAAAGCTTTTTTTGGTTTGTTTTGTTTGGGGTCACAGCCCGTGATGCTCTGGCTCTGTGCTCAGGAATCACTCCTGGTAGTGTTTGGGAGACGATATGGGATTCCGGGGATTGAACCCAAGTCAGCCACATTCCAGGCGATTGCCTACCTGCTGTACTATCACTCTGGCCCACCAGTAGAACTTCTGAAGGCGGCACTTTGTGTGCTGTTGCATCTTCCCTGATGTCAGCCCCACCGAGTGTACTGAGTATGCCTGTGTGACTCCACTGGCCTCTGTCGGTGCAGGGTGACTCTCTCATTTCCTCCCCCAGACTGAATCCAGGGACCATATCGTGGCCTTCAACATGCTAAACTACCGGTCTTGCAAAAACCTGTGGAAATCCTGTGTGGAGCACCACACGTTCTTTCAGGCCAAGAAGCTTCTACCTCAGGAAAAGAATGTTCTGTCTCAGTACTGGACTCTGGGCTCCAGGAACCCCAAAAAGTGAGTATATCTCATCCCGTGTCCACGCCACTCTGAGATGTAGACGTGTTGGAGCCGGCGTGACAGGTGGGTCTTAGAACCATGGCAGAAGGTCCCTCTGTGGGCAGCCTGTTGTTCATCCCCCATTTCCCCCGCCCCCCGTACACACGCACCCCAGAAGAGAGCCTCTGATTCCTGCTGTTCCTTCTGCCTCCTCGATGAGCAGACCTCAGGGCTCTGAGCAGCTAGCACTGTAGGTGCTCCCACACTGTGCCCTAGGAGGGATGACCATGGCAGTGACCCGGGGCTTCTGGAGCGGACTGACATAGGAGCTTCCAGGGCCTGTTATCACCGAGACAAACCCCCATCCTCTCAACGGTGATTTCCCCAAGATGGTCCTGAATAACGCGTGAATAGAAATTGTGATTCTAGAGTCCAGTGACTTTGGGCCCTGCTACAAAGAATAGTCATGAAATACTACTACAACTGCACATCTTAGCTGATCATTGTTGTTCGTGTATTGTGTTCTTACACACGCTTAACTCCATTTAATTCTTTCAACCTTCCTTACAATGGATACTTTGATCCACAGCAATGATACTCAAAATATTTGGTGAAACAGAAGAAATTAATCTACAAGTTGCTTTCAACTTAGATAGCATCTCATCCCCCGAATAAGCCATGCAGTTTGTATTTTTGTGTATTTGTTGGTTCTAAGACCACCTTTTAAGTATGAGGTGTAGCTAAAATTATCAACTCATTCTTAGCATTTCCAGATCAGTGTTTATTACTCTGAAAAATTGTTTTGGGGCTGAGGGTATGGCTCAGTGGTAGAGCACTTCCCTTGCTTGTGTGAGGACCTGGGCTCAGTCCTTGGCACTGAAAACCAAACCGAACTGAACCAAAACCCACTGTTTTTGTGCGATTGTCATTGAGATGGCTCCTTGCTGTGCCATCGTTTGATAGGTGGAACTGATGTTAGTTTGAATGAGGTAGCATGTTGTGGGCCGGAGCAATCATATAGCAGGTAAGGCATTTGCCCTGCACGCAGTAAACCCAGGTGTAGTCCCCGGCAACTCATAGGGTACCCCCGAGCGTGTCACAAGTGATCCCTGAGCTCAGATCAGAAGTAAGCCCTGAGCACTGCCAGGTGTGCCCACCCCCCCAACAAAACACAACAAAATTAGCAGATTTCTATTAGCATCAGTAATAGTATTTATGGGACTATCCTCTCAGGTCTGAGGACCCAAGAGCAAATGTATTTACAGGTTTTGTACTTTGTTCGTGCAGTTTATTATTTGTAGACATTTAATACTCGAGGCCTAACCAAGTCGGAACAAGCTTACTGGAATGTATTTACTTCTCTTGGGCCTAGTCCCCTGGGCTGGCTGAGAGGTGGCCAAATGAGTAAGCAAGCAAGCACGTGATCTTCAGGTGCTGGGATTGTCACAGGCCTGGGATCCATCTCCCACATAGATGCGTGTGTGTGTATGTGTGTGCGTGCACACACATGCACACACACACACATATATACATGCTTGTCATGGTGTATAACTCCCCGGTTCCATCCCCAGCACACACATTTTCACACACCCAGTTCACACACAGACAAAAGGGTGGGCTCTGTTGCCGGGCAGCCTGGGTTCACATCCTACGTGCATCCTTGAGCTTTCGCTTCTTCACCTGGGAAGCGCAGCCCGAAGTGGGGGTGGGGGAGTGAGGGGGGGAGGGCAGCACCCCAGCTCCATTATGGCTGAGTAAATTGACTACAACCACTCTGATGCAGGAATCTGGGAAGGGTTTGGTCAGACGATCCTTCTGCCGTTGGGCGGAAGTAGAGACCGGGGTTTCAGCGAGGGTCAGTGGCACGCTGAACTGGGCTGAGGGGCCAACATGACCTCGCTCACATGTCTGGGGTCTGGTGGGTAATGAGCAGCATCACTCGCCTAGACCCCTCATCCTCTGTGTGTGTGTGTGTGTGTGTGTGTGTGTGTGTGTGTGTGTGTGTGTGTGCGTGTGTGCAGGGCCTGTTCAGGTGGGCTGTCGGCTGGGGGGTGGGGAGGTTTCTTACCCAGAGACTGAAGAACAGTCACAAGCTGGCTCCATCCATGCAGGCAGGGATTGGCAGCTGCCTTTATGGTAGCCCTGGGGGCCACTTGGGATATTTGGGTATGGGGGGAGGGGTCAGAGATCTGCAGTCCTATGCTACCAATACTCGCTCCAGCAAACTGCAAATCTCAGCCCTTATTAACTCCATTTTATAGATGAGGAAACTGAGGCATAGCGTTGCTTTGTGATTTTCCCGACCTCTAGAGCTACGTCTACCTTGGATCCATTGAATTTAAGTCCGCCAAAAAGAAAACTTGCCTGGGTATTTTCCAAGCTTATGGGACAATCGAATTTCTCCTCCTCCTTCCCTCCCAGGACTTCCTATTTATAGCCTGTGACACATACTTTGGGGAAATGCTCCATTAAGCCTTTGAATCATCCAGCTTGCTGCCCCGCTTCTGAGGCTGTGCTCTCAGGAGGCCTTGGGTGTCTGAGGCAGCGAGCAGGTGATCCTGCGTTCGGCGTTTTTGATCAGTGACAGCAGCATGTCTGACTGAAAAAATAGTCCACTTCTCTACTCTTGTGGGAGGGTGGTATTAGCGTCTGTTCTCTGGGTTTGTTGTTGCTGTTGAACTTTGCTTTGATTCGTTTGTTGGTTTGAGGCTGCAAGGAAATGTATGGACTATTTTAATAAGACACAAAACCATACTTCAACGTTTAGACATGTCAGGACTTCTGAAAGGGTGATCCCCGATGGGAGATAGCTCCAGACTCCATTCTCCAAGGGATCTAGGCAGCCAGCATTTCAGTTCTTTGGGTAGAGGAAACAGAATTCAAGAATAACCTTCCACTGCGAATCTTCTCATTGTTCTGATTTTGTAATAATCAGGGCAGGCTAGACCTTCGCTGTAATAGGACCATGCGTGTGTCCCAGACCTGCTTCTTTACCTACCAAGGTCTGCTGTAAGAAATGCCGGTGATTAATCAAGGGCGGGGAGCCGGGCCTGGCAGGGGGAAGGGGGTGTGAGGGAGAAAAGAGCCTTTGAGATGGAGGCACATTTGAAGAACAAGGCCCAGTGCTCACATCTGTTCCTTCATGAAATGCGGGGTCTCCATGGGTCCTCGCTAAGTGGTTTATAGTGGCAGCTCCTGCCAGTGGGGGGGGTTGTCACGAACCTGGACGGGCAGTTCAGACTTGTACTCAGGCCAGTGAGAATAAGGCAAGAATTCCTTGAATTGACTTGAGCTGTCTTGTTGTGTGATCCTGGAACGCCTTTTCATCTGGTCAGGTTTGACTCTATCCAGGAAGCCGCTTTGTTGCCCTGCGGTATTTTTACCAGAAGACATAATATTTGAAGAAGCCCAGTCCATAGGTAGCACTTGTGTGTGACCAGTCTCTCTCCTCCTCATGACCCTGGCAGGTGCCACTGAAAAAAAAAGTCAGTCTGTGCCCCTCAGGGAGGGAGCTTGTGGGGACAGTTCGCAGATCCTGTCATGTCTTTCACCCGTGTGTCAGTGCAGAAACTGAACTTGCATCTGGTTTTTCAGGTCTGTAAATAACCAGTATTGCAAAAAGGTGATTGGAGGAATGGTGTGGAACCCAGCCATGCGGAGATCTTTATCTGTGGAGCAGCTAGAAACCAAGAGTCTGCCCTCTCGCTCTCCTCCTATTACTCCCAACTGGTATGTTGCCTCTTGCCGTCCCTGCCAATCTATCAGTAAACATTATCTCTTCTTTAAAAGTAAAGAAACCCATGGGGCTGGAGGGATAGGACAACGGGTAGGGCGTTTGCCTTGCACGCGGCTGACCCGGGTTCAAACCCCAGCATCCCATATGGTTCCCCAAGCACTGGCAGGAGTAATTTTTGCATACAGGGCCAGGAATAACCCCTGAGCATCGCTGGTGTGACCCAAAAAGAAAAAAAGAAAAAGAAATAAAGAAACTCAATCAGTTTCTAAATATAGATGGCCTATCACCAGCTTTGATATTTATATATATCGCTCTTGCAAGTGAGCCTATTGGAGAACCCATTTTCATGAAAGACATGAATCTAGGTAGCTGTTTTAAGGGTTTTTTGTTTGTTTGTTTGTTTTTGATTTTTCTTTTTGGGTCACATCTGGCGATGCTCAGGGTTTACTCCTGGCTCTGCACTCAGAAGTGGACCCCTGGTGGTCCTCAGGGGGGCCATATGAGACGCCAGGGATTGAACCCGGGTCAGCTGCTTTCAAGGCAAACACCTTACCCTCTGTACTAGAGCTCTGACCCCTAGGTCACTGTTTTTCATGGTGTGTGGTAAGCTTTATAAAGAAGTTATTTGCTCTAAATAAAATTGGGAGCTGCATCCTATTGTAGGGACCTGCTTGGAATTTAAGTGCCCAGTGGGATACGAATACTTCCAAAATTCCTTTGATGAAGAAGCATGTTCTGTGGGCCTGAGATACAGTACAGAGGTTAAGATGCTTACTTTGGCTGGCAGCCAACCCGGCTTGAGTCCTCAGCACCCCTGAGCACCAACAGGCGGGAGTGATCCCTGAGCACCATTGGGTGTGGACCACCCCCCAAATTAAAAAAGAAGCGTGTTTGACTCTATTTAATCTCATGTTTCCCATTAATATCAGACAAAATGAGCTTGGGGAAAACCTGAAACAGGTGGTGATATGACCCATGTGAGGAAATGTGACTCGGTAATAGTGGCCAGTGCACACAGGGAAGTAGCCTTCGCTGCCAACTTCAAGATGATAGATTGACTCTCCTTTCAGGGAGGGAGACGGCTCTTTGGCAGAGTGACAAGGGCACGGGGTTCATAGCTGAAAGCCTGGACTCCGATTTTGACCCTTCTGTTCATTAACGATTCCCTTCCCTCAGGTCTCAATCTCCTCTGTTAAGGGTCGTAAAAGTCACCACAGAGGCAATAAACCGTGCAAGTGCTTTACAGACTATTAAAAAAGAGATGGAATTACTATTTTATTACAGTGTTCCCCCAAAGACATGGGCTTCTTCTTGTAAATGCAAAGCAGCTACTGTCCATCAGCAGGAGGGGAAAGAAGCAGGAAACCTCATCCCCAGGCCCCTGCTGGAAAAAGCTGACTGTCTGTGCCTCACCCGGGAGTCGGTAGACATGGAAATTCCCTGCAGGAGAACGACTAGCCAAGGCCACTCTAAAAACTGATGGTGCAAAGGGCTGGAGTGAAACTGCAGAGGGCAGGGTGCTTGCCTTGCATGTGGCCCAGCGAGGTTTAGTCTCTGGCACTACAGGAGGGATTCCCTGAGCACAGAGTCTTAAGCCCTGAACACCATCAGGTGGAGAGGGAGGGAAGGAGGGAGGAAGGGAGGGAGGAAGGGGAGGGGAGGAGAGGGTGTACAGGGGCCAGAGAGAAAATACATGGGTAAGGTTCTTGCCTTACATGAGGGCGAGTCAGGTTTTATCCCTGGCACCACATGTGCTCCCCTGAAGCCTGCCGGGAGTGATCTGTTGCATGCAGAACCAGGAGCGAGCCCTGAGCACTGCTGGGCGTGACTTTAAAGTCAAAGCGCAAACCCCCCAAAAAGACGTAGTACGGGAGGGAAGACACTTGTCTTGCAGGCAACCCACCCCAGTTCCATCCCTCGTATGGCACCACGTATGGTCCTCCACAGTCACCAGGTATGCCACCCAAAATTCGTCGATTGCCTCGAGCAGACCCCAGTAACGTCTCCTTCATCCTTGCCCTGAGATTATATTCAAGGCTCTTTAGGAGAATGAGACCCATCATTGTTACTGGTATTTGGCATATTTGGTACGCCATGGGGAGTTTGCCAGACTCTGCCCTGTGGGCAGGCTACATTTGATAGCCTGCAAGTTTGTCCAAAGTAGAAATGAGATAATAAGATGTCATAAAAGATGTCCTGATAAGATGTCACGCGGCCAAAATACTATATATATATAGGCCACCCAAAATACTATATATATATATATATAGTACATATATATACATGTAACATGGATATATTGTACATATATACACATAGATAGCACAGTGGGTAGGGTGTTTGCCTTGCACGTGGCTAACCCGGACAACCTGAGTTCGATTCCTCCGCCCCTCTCAGAGAGCCCGGCAAGCTACCGAGAGTATCTCCTCGCCCACACGGCAAAGCCTGGCAAGCTACCCGTGGCATATTCGATATGCCAAACACAGCAACAACAAGTCTCACGTTGTTACTGGGCCCGCTCGAGCAAATCGATGAACAATGGGAGGACAGTGACAGTGATGTATACAAGTTAAAAAGTACTGAAACAAGCAGTGGCTGTGTGGGGTCCGCCTCTGGGGGCACATGCTCTGGGAAGGGGGTGATGATGGAAGTCGGGGAAGTACTTTGGTACCCAACGTGGGCACCTTATCCCGCAGTGGTAAATTTGCACTGTAAAGCAGCATCTTAATTTGTCTGAAAGTCTCCTGGGCAGCCGTGCCAAAACCCAGGACAGGATCCAGAACTGTGGGTTCAGAGCCACCCCTCCTCCCCCCCGCCCCATGCCCCACAACTCTGCCTGTTATTTATAGGTGCCCTCCTGAGGAGTCACGAGCCTCTCTGATGCTACTGTGGACATTGTGGTATTGATTACCCGGGGGCGGGTGCTGTGAAGAGTATGGGCATGGTCTGTCTCAAGGAGGACCTGTCTCCCAGAGGAAGGGATGATGGAAGAGCGGGGGCCAGGGGACCAGAGCTCGGGGCCTGGAGTCCCTCACCAGGGCCCCCTGAGACATTGCCTCATCTGAGTCATTTCTCAGGAGCAAGAAGACACAGTTGAGACTGGAGAAGGGCTGTGCCCTGCCCTGGGTCACCCAGCTGCCGCCAGGGGAGCAGCAGGGCCGTGCTCCTGGCCAGCTCAGGCCTCTTCAGGTCTGTACTCTGGAAAGGCAAGCCTTGCTTCTCGGAGCAAGTGCCGATTTACAGAGAAGCCACGCAGTGAAATTGGGTTGAATATGGCCACGAGATACATCTTGGACTCGAAACCGTGTATTTATACCAGTCAGGACTCATCAGGGGAAAATAAGTACATCCATAATCAGGATGGCTTTGAAACCGGGTGTTTATTACCATTCGGACTAATCAGGAAAGAAAAGCAAATCTGTTGTCACTATGGCCTGTTTATGTCTTGAGAGCTCACAGGCTCCTGGAAGAATGACTCTTAGAAATCAGCACCCTTCGCCTTCCCAAAGGGTATAAATCCATCTCGGCCACCTCGTTGTGGAGTTGAAGCTGCGGGGGTGGGGAATTGCTATGATCCCAAGTGATTTCTGGGTCTCTGGGTGGGGGAGGCGGGGGGCGGTGAACCAGCTCGGCCTCACCAGCGGCCCCCAGCCAGGGCATCCTTCGAAAGGTCAGGCAGGATGCAGTTAGGTTCCTGAGAGCCTGTGACATTTTTTTAACTGTCTTTAGAATTTATTGAACAATATAAAACAGAAATTTGACACAGACTTACACGAGCTATTAAAACGCATTGCTGGTTTTCATTCAAAACCTTAAATTCATCCAGCAGCTAATATTTCATAGCAGGTTGAATATGGTGCAGTAACACCAGCTGTGACCATGTACTGAACAGAGAGCACATGAATTTGACATAGTGGGAGTTTGAAATGGAGTGGCAGGGGCGGAGAGCTAGGTAGTGATTGAATTAGGACACCCAAGCTGCCTTTAAGACTTAAATTTTTGCTGACCGACTGAATTGGACAATTACTCAAGAGACCCAGGGATATAGCGCTAGAGAAAGATCCATGGAAATGATGTTTTTAGATTCTGCATATTTATTGGTATCATTTGACTTCAGAATGCATGCAAGTGTTGTCTCCACTAGGACTGGACTTAGCATTTATTTATAAATAAGAGACAAGTAAAATGGTTCGGTTCCAGGAAGATCATTTCTCCAGCCCGTGACATTTTTCAGGGGAATTTGCTTTCAGTTCCTTCCTCTGAACCTTTCTCCAGGCGCAGTCCAAGGCTCCGGCACGAGATCCGAAAGCCCCGGCACTCCTCTGCCGACAACCTTGCCAGCGAAATGACTTATATCACTGAAACAGAAGATGTGTTTTACACATACAAGAGCTCTCTGTCCCCCAAGGACAGCGACTCTGACGTCTCCCAGACCCGAAGCCCACACCGAGAGTAAGATGTTTGCTGATTTCTTTGGAGCTGCCCAATGGGCTGGGATGGGGGGGGGGGGTGGTGGGAGGGGAAATTTGCTCCATGGTGGTGGGGTAGTTGGTCAGGGCTGGAGTGGACAGCCGGCTCTCTGCTGGGGAGAGAACAGCTCAGGCTCCCCCTCTTTCCCCTCAAGGAAGACAACCTGTGCCCAGAGCTTCTGCTTATTCTCCAGGCTTAGATCTGCTCTTGAAGGGTGTCTCGTCCAGGCTGTGAATTGAAGTGGCTTTGGGTTCCTGAAAGAGATGTGTTAATTGTCAGAATCTGTCTCGGGTGCCTGCCTGCCTTCTTTCAATGCGACTAGCTCCCTTCGTGTCACAAGGCCAGTGGGGGGGCAGGGGAGGGGGGAAGGTCTCATCTGAAATGCTGGGTTATGTTCTCTTATTATTTCATAAGGTGTATCTGCTTCACTGTTACCCTTTTTGATTTGATTACCAGGAAGCTCAGACCTACATATGATGCTTAATTGCATTAAGTTCCTTTTCCCCGGATTTCTGATCCAATCCCTGCTTTTCTTTCCTTGTCTTATTAATGGGTCTTATTTTTGTCTCTTTAATAAAGTAGTAGTTCCATCATATTTTAGGGTAAATGATCTCAAACCAATTTTGTTTTTTTAAATTGGAGAATGTTTGAGTCATAGCTATTTGGGAACATCATATAGCAACTAGGATGAGCTTCAAAATAGTGAAACCAAATCTAGAAATAGATGAATCAGGTTAAAAATCCATAAAAAGAACATGTTAAAGCAAAGCATGATGGCAACAGAGCAACTGTATTACTAAGGCATCGAATTGATACTAACTGTCCCTAAAGAAATGAGAAAATCCATGCAAAAAAAAGAGGAAAAAAATAAGTCTCGACCAAGCAATGGGTGACAGGGAGAGGAAGAAGAGGCCTGAAAGTGATAGAAGGACAAGGATGAAGGGTCTTGGGTGCTTGGGTGATGGTGGAGGTGGAATAATTTTGTACACCAAAACCATAAACACTAACACTATTATAATCATCTCACCCTGACTATTACAACAAAAACAAGAAATAGTCTCTAATTCATGTGTTTACATGAAGCAGTTCTTCTTAAGAATTATATAGAGACAGTCACTGTCACTATCCTCCCGTTGTTCTTCGATTTGCTTGAGCGGGCCCAGTAACACTGTGAGACTTGTTACTGTGTTTGACATATCGAATATGTCACAGGTAGCTTACCGGGCTCTCCGAGAGGGTCAGAGGAATCAAACTCGAGTCGGCCGTGTCGGCCGCATGCAAGGCAAACGCCCTACCGCTGTGCTATCGCTCCAGCCCATAGAATTTGTAAAAATATTGTTCATGTTGTTCTCTTATATCCCCTTACCTATATCTCTCTTCCACCACCCCTTTCTCAGATAACCTGGGCTCTATTGTCAGTGGCTTCTAGTTTGTCTTTTTTCGTTTTGTCTTGTTAATCTATTTTAAGTTCATATATGCATAGATAAGTAAATCATTCAATACTTTTCCCCCTTATATTTTGTTTTATATAATTACCTTTAGCCACTTTCCATTTTGTTCTGAATGTAAACAGTCACATTTTTATAGTTGAACAGTAGCCATTATTAAAACTGTACCATAAATTCTTTATCCAGTCACCTATCAATAGGCAATTCAGTTGCTTCCATATTTCAGCTGCTGTAAATACGTGCAATAAACAACGGGGCAGATGATTTAAAAAGAATAAAAAAGAAATGAGGAAATCCTAATCATTGGGTGTCTAATTCGGGTAAGTCCCACATTTTGCCCAAAACAGAGGACCACATGACCGCCATGTGGTATTCCATGATAGCAAAGGAATTAGCAGGAAGATACATCAGTTAATCTGAATGCCTTCGCCCTCGTGGTGAAGAGGCTTGTGCTCGCTGAGTTGTGTTCTAGGCACAGGTGAATTGCAAATCTCCCTTCCCACTTCCTGTGGGCGGCTGCAGCGCAGAGTCTAACTTGTCTGGACTCTTTAACACCTCCAATTAAATAATCCCTCTGCTTACTCTTTCCGTGTGACCTGAGCTTTATGATGGTCTTGTTGAAATGCTCACGATCTCTGGCTCCAGCTGCAGTCCCGCACACGGAGGTCGGAACAGTCTGAATTCCTCTGTTTGGCATGGGCTTTGCAAACCTAGAAAGAGGAAGCAGGACCGCAGGCGGGCAGGCTGCGGACCCATCTGTGTGCGTGCAGAGGCTCCATCACTTTGGCGAAAGGAGAATGAAGGACCTGACTGTGGTCTCTGGGCTATCCCGGTCACATGCTTTAGTGTTGACTTTCCCTGTCGGGTTTGCAGTGGTGCCAGATGGTGCTTTACCTAGACCAGTGTTTCTGAAAGTAGGCGATTGTGCCCATACTCCCAAAAAGAGGAGACAGTAGTGGGGGCTGGAGTGATAGTACAGCGGGGAGGGCATTTGCCTTGCACGTGGATGACCTGGGTTCGATTCCCGGCATCCCATATGGTCCCCTGAGCACCGGGAGGAGTAATTCTTGAGTGCAGAGCCAGGAGTTACCCCTGTGCATCTCTGGGTGTGATCCAAAAGGAAAAAAGAAAAGGAGGAGAGATAGCAGTGACTTAGGGTGTACTTGGTAGTGGTGTTGGTGGAGCGGGCAGATGCTCTCTGTTTGCTAAGGAAGGTAGATCAGGGGTGAAGATGCTGAGTTTGTTTTCCATAAAGGGGGCAATAAACCGAATAAGTTTCGGGGGCTCTGATCTGGGTGCTCACTGCGCAGGACAGTAGCCACCAGCCACTGGTTCAGATTTTAATTAACTCCATACGAATCCGGGTATACAGTCCCACAAGCCTCATTTCAAGTGCTCCAGAGGCACTTGGGTGTAGTGGCCACTGTGTCAGACAGCGGGGATACCAGGCATTTCCTTCAGCACAGGAAGTCGCTGCGGTAGTCGCTGCCTTTATTGCTGGTTCTAAGCGGGGTAGCACCCCGGCCCTGCTCGCTCCAGTGTCTGCACCCTGAAAGGGCATTTTTCCAGTGGAATGTGAGCGAGTGCGCAGGTCTGGGATCCCAGCTGTGGCATGTACCACCTGTGCTCAGGCACTCCCCTGTGGGCCTGGGGGCGGGTGGATGGATGGATGGATGGATGGATGGATGGATGGGATGGATGGATGCTTAGGGGCCACATTTATTCCTGAGACCCACACACGCTTTCCACTGCATGGAGGGGACCTAGAAGCCAGTCAGCGAGGTCTTTACCTGCAGCGGCCTCAAGGCTGCCTGGGCACATCATCCACTTTCATCAGCACCTGCCACTTCTGTAGAAGGAAGTTCGGGGGTGGGGGGGGGGCGCCTGAGAAGCCCCATGACATGTCAAACACCAGCCCTTCTTACAGTGACCTGCTTTCACCTCAGCCTGCACCAACCAGCGCCAGAACTGCTCACCCACTAGCTCGGGCACAGGAAACAAAATTGAAAATTCCCTTCAGCAGAGCCCTGTGTTTGCTAAGTCATTTCTGTTCCAGCTTCCCTCTACTCAGGGAGTTGGATTTTTTTTTTTCCGTAACGCTTCTGCAAGACCTTGGAAGAGGGATCATCCTGGGGCACTCTGGTTTGCAGCTATAAATGTTCAAAGGAACGAATACTGATGATTCCAAGGCACGTCCTCCCGGCCAATGCCCAGCTCTGCCAAAGTGAGCCCGCAACTGCCATTTCCCAAGTCCGGCTAGCAGCAGTGTGCTGTGCCCGCGGGGCAGACCGTGCTTGGAGGGAAACCCCTCCTGCTGGTGTGAAGTCCCCTGCTCCCATCGGTGGTCCCTGGCTTCCCTGGGCTGACCAGTGCCGAGACGAGAAAGGAAGGTCGTTCTGCACTTTGGAGGGAAGAAGGGAAAAGGGAAGAAAAAAAAAAAACCACCTCCCATAGTGGTTATTTCAGTGCATATTTGCAAAATGTTTAAGAAATGTTTGACATGTTTTACACAGCAGATTTGTGTTAAGAGGCAAAAAAGAGGTATTCTGTCAGAGAAATGAGATGAATAAGATCATAGACAGCAGCCGAGCATGGCTTCTTTTAGAATTAAGTGTAATCTTCGGTACCCATTTAAAGAAGGAGAAAGAGAAAGGAAGCAATAGAAGGCGTAGACTTGGGCTCAGCCCTGAGTGCCGGGGCCTGGGCGCCTCGAACATTCTCTCCGGGGATGAGTCACGCGCACTGTCAGTGCCATATTTAGAGCCGTACAGCAAAGTTTATGATTATAGTTGTGAGTCCCTGGCAGTTTGCTTTATGCCCGGGAGGCCAAACCCTTTGTGCGACTCCCAAGGTTCCAAGAGCCTTTCTGTGTTCCTTTCCCCGCTCCTGAGGTGGCGAAACAAAAACAAAAACAAAAACTCACTCCCCACCCCAGAAAATAAAAGGAGGAGAAGCTCCCCCAAAGCAGAACGGGCTCTGCAGAGCAGACGCCTGCGGGAGGCAATCTTAGTTGAGCCTGTCGGGGTTATATTTGGAAAACTTGGTTGCTGTATTGTGATGGGTCTCCAGATGAGAAAGTGGGGGTGGTGAGATAAGGGGTGCTGCCTCTTCGAATTTTTTGGAGCTGGCCTTGGGCCTAGGTCTCAGGGCTGCTGCTACATCTTTTTATTTGCATTATCTGTGCATCTTACGGGAATTGCATGCAGTGCTATTGAACTCTATACTTTGAAGTGATTGAAATAGCAAGCTTCACGTATTCCTCTCCCCTGAATGCTACATAAGGTGTATTTCTGTGGCCCCCAAGTTCCACTGGGGTGGCCCTGGTGGTCCCCAGCAGGGCTGTATCACTGGGACAGAGCATTGAACCACCCAGCCCAATTGGTTAAATATCACCAGGAGAGTTCCTGAGTCCCATGAGTGTCACTTTGCGAGGCCCTGCTCAACCCCACGGTACATAACCAAGCTTTCATACATCGGGAGAGATCTCAGGAATCACCTTTATCTAGCCTTGTTGGCAGTGCAGAAATTCCCTGG